AAAAAAAACCAAACCAACAACAAAAAAAACAACCCAACCGAAAAAAAAAAAAGCACATTATTCTGTTCAGAATTCTCAGTTAACATCTCAAAATTACACAGCATGGACATGTAAAAAATAATAAAAAAACAAAACCAAAACCCCAAAAACCAACCCCCAAAAACAAGGACCTGGATTTATACACAGAAAGGGATAAACCATTTACAAAAAAAAAAAAAAGTCTCGTTAATGTCACATTTAATTAAGGAAAACCAAAAGGACTAGGTTGAAGGAGGGAGGGGCCGGGGCTGTTCTGCGCACCCCCACCCCAAAAATCGGTGTGACAACCCCCGTCCCCCCCCCGCCACCCCCAGGGGTGACACTCACACCTTCCTTCCACACGAATATGGGGGGTTTCAGGGCAGAGGGAGGGATCTCTTGCTTTTGGGGTCAGCTACGGAATGAATTTTGGGGGCTCTGGCCAGCGAGCAGCGAGACTTTATTGCCCCCCCCACCCCAGGACACAGAATCCCACTGGAACGGGGCAGAAACAGCAGAGCCACCTGAATTATTTCTTCCCCCCCCCCAAATGTGTGTGATTTGGGTCCCCTCGAACCACACCGCCAGCCCCAAGTTTGGGCTCCAAGGTGGTGGTGGTTGGGGGGAGGCTGCCCAAACGGGGGGTTTCAGGGCAGAGGGAGGGATCTCTTGCTTTTGGGGTCAGCTACGGAATGAATTTTGGGGGCTCTGGCCAGCGAGCAGCGAGACTTTATTGCCCCCCCCACCCCAGGACACAGAATCCCACTGGAACGGGGCGGAAACAGCAGAGCCACCTGAATTATTTCTTCCCCCCCCCCAAATGTGTGTGATTTGGGTCCCCTCGAACCACACCGCCAGCCCCAAGTTTGGGCTCCGAGGTGGTGGTGGTTGGGGGGAGGCTGCCCAAAGATCAGTACCTGGAAGCTGCCTGGAAAATTTTTGGAAGCCCCCCCCCCCCCTCCCGGATGAAGAACATCCTTTTATTCAAGCTGTTGGAGTCCTCAGAGCTGGATTTTAAACAGGGACAGGAGTATGCTGCTAAATGAAATGTTCCGGTTCCACGCCACAAAATCGTGCAACTCACACATACCTCTCAAAGCTACCTTTTTTTTTTAAAAAAACAAAACTGAAAAAAATAATAAAGTCATGTTTTAACAGAACACAATTCCTCCGTTAAGGGATTGGAGTGACACACACCCCCACATCCTGGTTTGTCACCTTCCTTCCCTCCGTACCATCCCCACCATCAGTTCCTGGGTTTGGAGACATTTTCAGAGCAAGACCGATTCCATTGGCATGGATTTTTTTTAGATGGTTAGATTCTGGGTGGAAATGCTGCAGTTTTGGTACAGAATTCTTTGAACTTCCCCCAGTAGCTTTTTCCAGCCCCACACACCTACAGGGAGACTCAGCTCGCTGGAAAAGCCAGGAATTCTGTTCCTGAATGCTGGAGGCAGGAGAATCCCAAGTTGAAAAAAAAAAAAAACACCAAAAAATCAGCAAAAAGGACTCGATTAGACCCACTAGGTAAACAATAAATAAGCTTATTAAGGTTATTTACCTTAACCTGGCACTAAGAGGCCAGCAGGAGTGAAATAATGAGGTGCACAGTCCTCCTTACCCACCTCATCTAAACACGCGCCATCGTTTGGGAAATAGAACTCGTTAACCCTTGCAGCAGCACGGGGAGGGGGGGAAACAGGGAGCTGGACACCTGGCTCTGTCCCAGCCATCTAACCCCTTCCGTATATCCCCAGGTCTGGAATAAGCTTTCCAAAAGAAGGTTTGGGTGATAAGGAAAGAAATAAAACCCATCAACATTCCGCACCTCCCTTCTCCACCCAGAAGGCAAAGGGTGAGGGAAAAGGAAGGGGTTTGCCACACCAAGGCTCCTCTGTGGGCTGATGGCAGCCGTTTCCAGCACTCTTCATTAGACTGGAGAGGTTAAAAAGGCTTCCTCAAGTTCAAGGCCACAAGCAGTGTTTGTTACAGCCCCCCCCTTCTGCCTGTCCCCGCAACGGGAAACCCTCACCCGCAGGCAAGAGGCGGCATCGGCAACAGCACGAGCAGGTTATTTTGGGGGAAGAGTATTTGCGTGGGTTTCTGTGCTTTTGAGACCTCTGGATTTTTAGGTGTACGTGAAAAGGAGGAGGATGTTTCAAGACCAGGTAGATTTCTAATCACAAACAAAGTTACTTGGGTCATTAACGCTGGCAGGAGGCCCACGTGAAGAGATAACGCTGCTCAAAGATAAAACAGCCCAGAGCCTCTGCCAGTGGCAGACCTTGAAAAAAGGTGGGTCTGTGTCCTTGGAGTGGCAAAGGGCATCACACCTCTGCTTCGGAGGGCTCCAGCCACCCCCCTGTGACACCACCTCGCACTGAAACCCAACTCCAGGAGAGCCTGTGGAGGTGTTTCTAGCTGTGTCCAACTCCTAACGCAGCACTCCAGTCACCCATACCTTAACCTGCTCCACATTAAAAAGCCAAAAAAAACCAAACCCAAACAACCCAGAAAACCTCACACCTGAAAGTAAAGAAAGTCACCTTCAGAGCTGAACGGGGTTTACATTCAGAACTATGGCTACAGACCTACGATTTCCACCGCAACGTCTTCCAGAATTTAGTGGAAGATGCTATTTCTAGACAATAAACCATCTATCATGAGGCTTTTCAAGCCAATCGGGTTACAAAACGCCTTTTCGAAAAGTCACAACAGTTTAAAAAAGAAAAAACCAAAGCCCTCCGACAGCAATTTAGTTGTGCCTGATAGACATTTTGAGAAGCAGGACTCAGGCCAGTCCTACCATGTACTGATCCTCCACTGAACCTTTCACTGCGCAGATTTTCGCTCCCTCCTTGCCTTGTGTTCATAATATTTAGATACAGAAGCCGAAAGTGCTTGTGAAAAACTCCATTCTGTAAAGGCAGCAGCAGCAGAATCAGCTGGTCCACACTCTGGAGTGTCTCAAAACCCCCTGCACCGTTCCTCTAGAGAACAACGGGGAAAACGGGAGACGTTGGGTCTTCCCTAGAAAGGTGCTATGTGGGAAAACAGTTATGGTTCAAGCATCAGCCTCGGTTGGACAGTTTCAGGCACGTGATTTTTACCACAGCACAGGGAGGTGAGCACATCTGGAAGGTGAATAAAGGGATATCCTGCTGTACACGTGGGCTCCTGCGCTGCCACGGCTACATTGCACCAACACGCTCCGTGCTGCGGCCAAAGCACGTGGCTCTGCGACCTCCAGGCCTCCTTGGGCTTGGGGAACAAGGACTGAGGGTAAGAAAAGGCCACAACTCATGGTGCAGCTTTTCTAAAACGCCTTCTTTGGGCTCTGGGGTGAGAGTATCAGGTTCTGGAAGAGTAACTACATATAGCACGAGCGCACAAGTGGATGGGAACAAGCTCCTTCCCTCCAAAATCCAGATGTTTCTGCCTTTCATACAACACTACCATCCTCCCATCCACTCCTGCTTGGCCTTCTGAACCAGCCCCTGTCCTACATCCCAGGAAACACCAGTTGCTACCACTATGGATTGAAGCTGTGGAAACAAAACACACCCTTCAGCGCTACCGTTCAAACCGTTAAGATTGAGAGGCCAGTTAGAAACCACTGCACTAGCCCCCAAATAACCATTTTACAGATAGTCCAGTGGCTTTCTGCAGCCCTGCCCGAGCGTGGCAGTACCACCTGGAGACCCTTAATTTGGGAGGGCAATACCTTAAGCAGCAGAGAGGTCAAATCAAAGGGAGCATTAGAATTTTACCGCATCGTCGCTAATGAAGTTGAACCCATGGGGGCAGTTACCACCCGCTGACAGCAGAGCTGGACCCTGCTGAGGGGTTCCACACATCTACACCCTGTCTGGAATCTACCCAAACACAAGCTGTACAGCTCACGTGAATATTTGAGCCTGGGCAGTATTTTATTCTACCTTGCGAGTGGCAGAGGAAGAAAGGGAGGACACCTTTTCAGCCAAAAAACCCAAAAAAATAATAAAAAAAAAATTCCACAGTCACAAAAGCAGAATATTCACTAGGAGATGACACCAGGGACTGGTGTCCTTAGGTTGTCCAAGACTATGCTCTGAAGATGCTTTACATGAGATGAGCAAGATGTCCAAAACAAGGCCAACTGTGGTGTAAGATGCAATTTACCCTTTAATTTCCTGCCTCAATTTCACCCAGCCACAGAGGATGACTAGATTTCAGTATGAACCATTACCTAAATCATATAGTCGGTATGCAGATATATGTCTTTCTTTAAAAATTTACTTAAAAACTGCTTGAGCCGCAGGTCATTATCAGTCTGATCTGGAGAGTGAAGGCAGTTCCAACGGTACAACAGAGACTTGTCTACAGGCAGGTAAAACGAGAGTCTGCTAACGACGGGGTAACAAAAGCTGCTGGCTGGGCTGGCCAATGTTGCACACAAACTTTCATAGGATGAAGATGCTGTGGATGAGATCCAGGATGGGAAAACTGAGCCAACACCTGCTGCTGTTCTAATTTTTTTTTTTTTTATCCTTTTTTTTTTTTTATTCTCCTCTCACAAGAGGGGGTGGGTAGACTATACAGAGGAGGGCTGTACAAAACTGGGCACTGGGCAGGCATTTCTTCAGCAGGCAATCCAGGCTCTACCTGTCCTTGAGCTCTCTTGTCACCCGCTTGGTGATGCGTCCACACATGAGGCCGATGAGGAAGAGTACGCAGATGCCGACCGTGATCACGGACAGGATGTAGTTCTTGGACGGAGAGGTCATAACTTGCATGGCGAGGTCAGAAAAGCCTTCTGCTGGGGCAACCTGAAGGGGAGAAGGGAATACATGAGTCAAGGTGCACTTTCCAGGTGACCTTCAGCCTTTGCATTTATCAGGTCTAATCTCTGGCACTGCTAGTGCCTCCTCTCGTTGTCAGACTTGGCCTGAACCCCAAACAAACAGGTCTGAAATGGTTTAGCTGAAGGAACTGCTGCTCAGTGTCTCCTTTGTAGCAGGAAGCTCTGCTGACCCTATTCCATTGCCCCAGACCTTTTCCACAGGACACCAAGTCCCGTGTGCACAACAGACGGTTTAATGGCTTGGATTAGAAATACCGTGACCAGCAGCAGTAGGGAGGTGATTGTGCCCCTGTACTCAGCACTGGGGAGGCCACACCTCGAGTATTGTGTCCAGTTTTGGGCACCTCAATCCAAGAGAGATATCGAGGTGCTGGAGCGAGTGCAGAGGAGGGCAACGAAGCTGGTGAAGGGCCTAGAAGACAAATCATATGAAGAGCGGCTGAAGGAGCTGGGGCTGTTTAGTTTGAGGAAGAGGAGGCTGAGGGGAGACCTCATCACTCTCTACAGCTACTTGAAAGGACACTGTAGAGAGGTTGGTGCTGGTCTCTTCTCACAGGGAATTAGTGACAGAACGAGAGGGAACGGCTTCAAGCTCCAACAGGGGAGGTTTAGATTGAACATTAGGAAGGAATTTTTCACCGAAAGAGTGGTCGGGCATTGGAACAGGCTGCCCACGGAGGGGGGGGAGGCCCCATCCCTGGCTGTGTTTAAGGGCCGTTTAGATGCAGTGCTGCGGGACATGGTGTAGGGGAGGACTTTGTAGAGTAGGGGAGATGGTTGGACTCGATGATCCCAAGGGTCTCTTCCAACCTCAATGATTCTATGATTCTTTGTAGCAGGAAGCTCTGCTGCCCCTATTCCATTGCCCCAGACCTTTTCCACAGGACACCAAGCCCCGTGTGCACAAAAAACGGTTTAATTCTGCACTGCTGAGGAGGTGTCCCAGGCACTGCGACAACAAGACACGCAAATTCAAAAAAGGAAACCCGTTTTCCATTTTTCCCAGACCAAACTGAAAACGTCAACTTCAGAGACAGGAATTTCATTACAGCTGAAGTTTTTCCTAAGTAGCTTGCAACAGAAAGATCCAACGCCAAAAAAAATAATGAATAAAAGGAAATCCTTTACATATTCACCTTTGCGGCGTAGCTCCACATTTCGATGCGATCGTTAAGGCGCTTCTTGCATTCAGGCTGCAGCCTCACACGTTTATCTTCCAGAGCTTCCATTAAACATGACATTTCTGTAACACGGAGAAGACGGTGTTAGAAAATAGAAACAGCGGCTTCGGTAACGGAAAGGCTTCTGGAAAGGGAAACTTTCAATTCTCATAAAGGCCGATGGTTCCACAGCTCCCTAAACAGAGCAGCCAGCCTGCCAGACTACATACAGAGCCCTCTTGTACCCTTGAAGCTAGAAATTTCACTAAGATTCATGATTAATAACTGCATTTTGAGGCGCGAGGAATTTTGACTTCCAAAAAGAAATTACAGGACCTATCCAAGATGTAATTCACATGAGATTTTATAGCCTTACAAATTGGCACCTTCAATGAGCCCGACTCCAAATTCTCTGCCTCTACGCTTTAGAGAGAACTAAGATCAAATTCAGCTCAGGAAAAAACAGAGAGTGTTATCTCTTTAGGCTCGTCAGGAGTTTCTTTTGATGAACAAAATGTTTTGGAAAGGTTTAACTTCCTGAGTTTTCACACAGTCCTGTGAAAAGGAAATGGGATCACAATGTTCTGGGTGCCTACAGAGCAGCACAGCAAACTCACAAACTCTTTTATATGTTCTCATATCAGACACCAAAGTAAAATTCTGTATTTTATGCTTATGCTGCCTTACTTGAATAACCCCTAATTGGATGCTTTTTGCTTTGCACCGAAGAGTTTTGCTCACAGCAAACAGGCTGCAAACTTTAAACCAACTCCAGACTTTTTCAACACAATTGTCAGTTCAAACACTCCGAGGCAGATCCCTCTCCAAGCTCCAGCCTCCTGCATCCCCTCAACATGTCAGCACACAACATCAAAGGGATTATGACAAAACAGGAATAAATAAAGGATATCCAGAATTTCAGAAAGGCATTCAGTAACCAGCACGAAAGATAACCATCAAGAAAATACTTGGCTGCTATTTTTAATGCCAGATGAACTCAGAAAGATGGGAAAGTTCAGAGCTTTTTTCCCCCCACTAACTTCCCTTGAACAGCCACACACACTATCCAGCAGGCTAATGTAACAGCAGTAACAAAGCTTGTCCTCAAACAGGAAAAGAACGGGTTAGGAAATACTTAAATAAATGATGTTTCAAGTGGTCTGAACCTGATGAACTCAGTCTTAGGGGACCTGGAATAGCCAATGAACTCTCAAAGCCTTTAGCTGCTCTGCAAAGTTAGAAAAACGTAGTAAAGACTATACCTACCCTCTTAATACTGGAAAAGAAAAAACTGGTATCTTTAAGTAGAGAAGAAAAAAAGGATCAAAGAACTTCAGTTTAATTTTGTCTGTCAAAAATACTGAAACAAATAAGCCGACCATGGACAAAGACCGGCAGAAAGAAAGGAGGCTCAGGGGGATTAGCTAAGAATGAACCTCATGAAGCCAAGCTGATTTGGTTCTGTAAGAGAAGCAGCTTAGTCCCAGGGAAGCTTTTGATGCAGTCTGATATAACACTCTCATAGGTGAACTTGGGAGCTGTATCCTGCGTGGAGCTGATACAGGGTGGGAGATAAAACCTACTGAAAAAATGAGTCCAGGTGTACAAAGAGCTGGTTTTCGACAGGATTTAACCAAGGAGGAGTTTTATGGAAGGGTTACAGATCTGGCATCACTACTGTCATAGTTCCATCCATAATCATATGGATGATGGAACATAAAATGTACTCATTAAATCTGCAGATAAGGGTGCAAGGATCAGGATTGAAGAACAGGTCCCACCGTGGACACCAGGAAGGACTTCTTGATACCCATCTTGTGGTGGCATCTGCCCCCTCTGCAGCTGTCCCACCTCAGTACCCCAAAGGACTGGCAGAAATACCTTGTACTTAATACAATGCTGGTAAGAAAATGCAGCTTAAGGTGCTCAGGCATGGGAGGTGAGATGAGTAAAGTAGGAGCACTTACGGCGTCCTCTCCCTGGTGGAATGGCAGCACAGTGGTGTTTGATGTCCAGGGCACAAGCTGTGTGGAGCACTGGGTCAACAAATATATCGGCTTTGCTCTCCTTCAGCATGTTGAGCACTTCCTGGGGAGGGGGAAATGACAAGTACAGCTCAAAAAAACAGGAGAGAGAACAACATTCATTCCGCTCAATGATTCTCCAAGGTGCATCACCTTTTTAAAGCCAGGATCATGAGAAAAAAAAACCCCACAACTGTCCCTGGATGAGGTCACAAATGCTGGTTTAGGCTGGATTAAATGTCCTGGTTTATAAGGGCTACCACAGTTATATTCGTTAAAATATAAAATACATCAATATGTGAGGGTTACTTCAGTTAGAACTGAAATAAGGTGCCACAGCCAGTTCATCCAGCCCTGGACCCAGCACTCAGGAAGCCTGCAACGGAGACAGCACCAGAAAACAGATCAGCAATGAGCAAAGTCTGGCAACAGTAATGGAGAAAGGATCCAAGGCTGGGATTGCAAAGGGGGCATTGTCGGCACAATTTTCCCTGGCAAATTGGAATTGAATTGAATCTCTGCAGGCCAGAACCAAGATGTGTAAGGAAATCAGCTGAGCTCTGGCTTCATACAAACTAAAACATGGCCTGGGCTGCGATCTGGGAAAAGTCACAGATTTCTGCAGGGACAGGAAACCTTTTAGAGCCCATTCAATTTATTTCCTTTACCTTCTTGCACATTTCAGTTTTTATTTTCAGCAGATTCACTTTCAGACATTCTTCCACCTGCCCAGTCTGCTCCTGAGCTGCTGCTTCTTCCGCGCACAAGTTGGAAATCTGTTTGGAAAATGGTATTTTAACATAACTTTTAGCACGTTAATATTTCAATACATTAACTCATCACAAGGCACAGAGAACACCTGATGAGATACATTTCCCCCCAGAATCTCCAGAGCCAAATGCAGCCTGGCTCATGCAATATGCATAACCCTTTGAAACCCAACAGCAAGAAGTCGATACTGCTGTACCGAGGAGTAAGGCAGGGGGAAAAGAGCATAGAAATAATTTGAAGATATGAAATAAGCAATACTTGAGGCATGGCTGATTCGGCTAGCAAAAGCTAAAGCTCAAAAATGTGACTATATTCCAGTTAAGGCTGGCAAGGCCAGAACACACACACATTTTTGGTTCAGGACAGGAAAGCAGTATTTTTCCCAGAGTCAAGTATTGATGAGATCCCTGATGGAAAAATAAACTTTATATTAGCACTGCACAGAGAACTGCAATTCTTACACTGTGGGCAGAAGTCACAAGCAGAGAACCTGAGTAGCCAGGAGCAGCTCAAAGGGGTTGGGTGTTTTTTTTTTTGACTGTTTTAATTATCAGGAGAGTTCATGTTTTAAGGAAGAGAATTTGCTTTGTGAAGGGAGTTTTCATCCTGAGAAAGCAGCTGCTGAGTTACTTCTCCTACCTCTTCAGAGCAGTGCATCTGAAGCTGGGGATCCAGCCGATAATCGAGAGCCGACTCCTGGATTATCACTCGAATTTGGTCCTCGCAGTCTGGAGAGAGACGCTATTGAGCGGAGAAAGTCATTAACCCACTCAATGACCTTTCTTTTCATAAATCAATCGCGTCGCATTTGAACCTGTGCATTCTGTAACACTCGTAGGGGAGCGTCAAAATCTCATTTACACACAGGCTGTTACATACATTGAGCACACCCCGAGTTCCATTTGTTATTCTACGACCGTTCCTCGTTTGCAGGCACCAGCTCTGCTCACCTGATCTGCATATTTCAACTTCAGGCAGGAGATGACTTGTCCTTCCAGCTCCGTATCATCCTTGGCCCTATTGAGGATGTTTTGGCAGAATTTTGGTATGTCTGCTTTGCACGCCTTCCTGAGCACGGGATTTAAGCGGTAATCTAACCGGGAGAGATGACACAACACCGTTAGAACACATCTCTTCAGATTACAGGACACAACACTCCAAATTGACAGAAATTCCCCAGATGACATCGTACCACCAACGGATTTACTTTTGGGGAAAAACAAAATTCTGTTGTGAAAAAAATACTAACTTGGGAGGTTAAGAGCTTCAGGAAGAAAGTGGATCCAAACACTCAAAGAACTTGAGTGAATGAAGTCAGTGTGTGCACTGACAACCAGGAAGGAGAGGAAAACAAAGCAAACATTCTCCCAGCCACACAGACCACTCAACGGCTCAGGCAGGCAAATTCCATTTTTTTCAGGAGAAGATACCTGTGTTCTGTGTAATCTGGCGCTTGGTGATCATCTGCTTGCATTTAGGATCCATCACTTCACTGTTCTTGTTTTGTTTCAAACACTGCAACATATTTTTTGAATCTGCTTCTGGACAAAACCGCTACAAAAAAAAAAATCAAACCCCCAAGTTTTATTACTGAGCACTTGGGAAAAAAAAACCCCACATCTATATTCACGGAAGAGAATAAGCACCTGCCCAATCCAGGGGTATATACACCCATTCCTGAGCCCCAACACCTATGGAAAAGAACAGTGCTACTCTCTAAATTCACTAAGGGCATGAATATTTCCACTTTATAGACTGAGCACACAGCCCTGACTGGCTTCTAGGCACCAGCTGGTGTTGGCAGATTCAAAACCAATTTGCCTGTATTTTCTATTCCGAAGTTACAGCACACTCTGCAAGCAACACCCACCAAATTAAGTCTCATACCCCACTACTTTCTCTCCACTTTATTTTGGAAATTAAAAAGGGACTCTCAAGTCTCTACACACACTGCTGTCCTGCATAAATGCTGGCTGGACAAAGCGATAGGTAGAGACTTCACTAGTAAAATTCAAGATAAAGTAAGGCCATACAGAATGAGAAAGCAACGAAGAGCTCACCGATACTAATTCGCCCGTTCTCACTCTGAATCATAATCAGAAGTGAACCAGCTTACTCAGAATTTAGACCAAAGGATTAATTTCTTTTGTTAGAATCTAATTCTGTGGGTGTAAGATAAGGCTGCTGCATCTTCTAATCCTCACCATTTGGTGAGATTACAGGTCTTTTTTAAAAATCATGATATTGCACCGGAGAGCAATAAATTCTTCAGATGTTCTGCTTCAGCCACAACAGGGAGTCAGGGAACTGCAGAGACCACACGTACTGGTGGTTCAAGGCTTGCAATTCTGGCTGCTGTGCAGAAGTATTTTGTATTAACATGCACAGCTGCTTTCCACAAGGTACCAACATTTCTAATGTTAAGTTTTCCCTGATTTTGCCCACTTGATGACTTTGCTGAAGGTCTGCACGCACCAGGTCGGCAGTGAACTGAGGACGTTCCTCCTCTCTGCAATCACAACTTCTTCCCCATCGTTAAAAGCCAACCCCAATTCAAACCGACTGGGTGAAAACCATATTAGAAGCCTCAGCACAGGCTTCCTCCTCAGTTCCCTCAGTTGGGAAGACAAATTTATCAGTGCACGGACTTTGATCAGCTACGTGGAGGAAGTGAAGTTGAAGGAGAAGGGCCCTGAAGAAACCTTGGCCTGACACAGAGTTAAGAAGCTCATGACTGTGCAAGAAAGCGACAATACCTCTGGAACAACACCTCACTCTTGTAACAAGCCTTTAGAGGAACCTCAAAACCAATATAGCTTTTATGTCCCAACCTCACTGCATTAAATCAACACACTCCTGTTACCTTGATCATCTGCTTGCAGACTCTCATGAGAGTGTAGTCCAGCTCTGGATCCATCATCTCCGTCTCCTGCAGTTTAAAGACCTTCTGGTGGCACCGGGTACTCAACTGCTTCTTGATTTCTTTCAGGCATTCAATGATCTACAACACAGTTTTACAACCATTACAGACACATGGGTGATATGATCCTGCCATACGCTGCTCCAAACGTGCAGCCACGTGTTCCCCCAATGGCTTGTCTTCACCTGATTTATGCAATTAAGTTCCCAATGCCTAGGTTTTATCAAAAGTCATTACCAACGCTTATTTCCAGGACTTGCTTTTAAGCTCATCTTTTCTGGCAAAGATTTAATGAGATGAAGAGGGTCACCCAGACTTAACTCGAAACACCACGCCTCACCCTGCAGACATTACACTTAAAAAATCTTTAGCAACATTTCAGTAACCAACTGCTAATAGCTTAAAGCTAGCATTAATAGTTCATTAACTAGCAGGAATTAACTGCTCACAGCATTGCATTCACCCAATACTAATGCTTGTGAACCAGTGGGGAAAAAGATGAAGTTATGCTCCAAAATACTAATGAGAAAGATTTCGGTGGTATCAAAATGAAAACCTAACACTGCACTCACAGGGGCAAAAGTGTTCTTCAAAAGTTTCCTGAAATGAAAGTCCAAATTAAATTGTAAATTATTAATAAAATCCATTACCTGTGCATTGCCATAGGGCACGTTTTGGCAGTAGTTCTTGATGTCACTTTTACAAGCCTCATACAGTTCTGGTTCAAGTCTGATATCCTCAGTCTGCAGGAAAAATTACAGTATGAGCTTTTAAAGTAAGATTCTAAAGACTATTTCACTTTGTTAATCTATTAACTAGAGCCCTCTACTCACAAAAAGCAAGCAACTCTCACAACAGGCAGCTCAGATTCTTTCAGTTTAGGGGTCTGGGGTGAGAGAAGTTGTGTTAGCGGGAAATCAACTTTGCAAATCCATGCAGTGGATCAGTTGCTTTTCACAGTGAAGGAAGGGTTTAAACTGAATTTTGGAGCTGGCAAGTTGTTTCCACTTGCTCCTCCTAAACAGGCATGAACACAAATCCCAAAGACAGGTAAAATCTTCTCATTTGAAAGCCAACACATCAACTGGCCAAAGACCTGAAGAGTTTGTTGCTGCAAGCAGCGCAGCAGGAAGCGGAGAGGCAGCCCTTCCCTACCAGAACACACATACTCCTGTTCAGAGCAGCTGGAGTTGAGTCACTTCATCTCTGCTTCTTTCCTCAGTCTGTAAAATGAAGCTTTTGTTCTCTCCCGGAGGACTCCCACAACATCAGCATGTGCAGCACGTTGCTCCCTAACACTAAACATAATCGCTTCGAGCTGAAATTCCAATGACCATTTAGCTCGCCTTAGCCTTCATCAGACTATATTTAAGGCATTAAAGTAGACAATCATCACTTTCACCGTGAAGGGCAGCTGAGCCTCGTGTTGTAAGAGTGGAAAAAATAAATTAGGTACATCTTATAAATGAGCTTCCTTTTTTTTTTTTTCCAGACTGGACAAACCAGGAAGCTTTAATTCAAGGACCTTGCTAGAAGAGCGGGCAGATGAAGAGTTTCATGCATGTTTACCATCTCGAGCTCCTCGACACGCAGCTGTTTGCGGCACTTGAGGGACACCCTGTGCTCCTTGGCATCCTGCAAAGTATCGTTGCGCACAGTCGTGCTCAGGCAGATCACTACATCCACCCTGCGGACAAGAAAACAGCTTTTTTACTCATTTACCCCTCACTTGGACCAGCCAAGGCTGGTGCTGGATCACCACATCGGAGAAAGTGACCCCAAAAATCCAAGAACAGCATAAAGTCCTTGTGCACCTCTGCTTATTTCTAGCCTGGGTACGGCTCTATGTGGAGTCACTGGATCACAATTAAAACCTAAATCTCATCCTGTCTAATTAGAGTCTAGATTAGCAGCCAGGAAGATATTCAAAAAAATCCCAGCACACCCCCACCACCCAGCAAGACCTCTGCTCTCAAGGCAATGCTTTAGAAAAGCTTTACCTCATCTCAGAACTAGCTGGAGGTGAACACTCACATTGCAAACAATCCTTCTGCGTTATGGGAAGGGCATTTATATCATAAAAGGCAAATGGTCTTGCTACCCACCAGCAGCATCGACCTTGGGTGTAATTTAGCCGTACGCCATTGCAGTAGGCTGTTAAAAAAAATAATCCTTACACTGAAATGAATAAACCAGCTAAAAGAAGCGAGGCATTTCCCTTTCCCAGATCAGCAACTGGAACAACAGTGGCCTGCACCTCAGAATATGATAAATCTAGCAAGGATATAGAATGTCCTGGGACACACAGTCCACTAATTGGAATCAAGAGGACAGGCTTGTACGCAAAAGTAAAGTGGAAGTAATTTTAAAGAGGCAGACGATGTCTCCACCTTAAGCATAAGGGAAAACACACAAAACAATCAGTCTTTAAAGGAATTCCAGTATTTGCTGCTCTACCATGAAATACTGTATAAATACATAATAAAGTTACAGGGTCAGATTGCTGTTTGGTCAGGTGCTACGTACTTTTTTTTGATGTTGGGGCAAAGTTTCAGCACATCCTCCTTGCAAGCCATTTTAAACTTGTAGGAGAACCGAAAATCTTTCATTTGAACCTGCAAGAGAGAAATGAGGGGAAAAAAAAACACAAACCAACTTTGGTCAATCTCAAAAGAAGGAGGGGTTTCCTAATTAGCTAATTCCTGCCAACACCCTCAGGAAGCAGAACAGGCTTCCACCGACAGCAGAGAAAAGCGCTGCTCACCAGCTGGAAGTGAGTAACTCCGATTGCACATTTCTCATTCATTTCCTTCTGGTGTTTGTTCTGTATTAGACACTCCATCAGGTCCCCAGAATCAATCTGGTTATCTGCAACCTCCTGAAGAAGAGATGAAAGGTTTAAAAAATCAGCTAATCTTACAACTCATGATTTTTATGCTCCTGTAGCCCGCTGCGACCAGGAAAGAACAGAACTTACAGTCCCACTCTCTGCTTATGTCTGATTTTACTTTTGAAACATAACAAGCACATCAAGAACAAATACTAAAAACTCTAACCTTTCCCACACAGTGCTTTTTCCCCCCAAAGATATTCAGGTGATTACAGAGCACTCACATGACAGAAAGTCTGGATAATGGGCTCACACGCTCTCATCAGCAAAGCTTCAATTTGAATGTCCTGCAGAAAACACACAATATCTCATTTTCCCAGTGAATGGACAAGAAAAAAGGCTCAAAAAAAAAAAAAAAAAACCCCCACTGGGGGGAAAAGAGAAAAGGACATAAAGCACTGGCCAAAGACCTGAAGAGTTTGTTGCTGCAAGCAGCGCAGCAGGAAGCGGAGAGGCAGCCCTTCCCTACCAGAACACACATACTCCTGTTCAGAGCAGCTGGAGTTGAGTCACTTCATCTCTGCTTCTTTCCTCAGTCTGTAAAATGAAGCTTTTGTTCTCTCCCGGAGGACTCCCACAACATCAGCATGTGCAGCACGTTGCTCCCTAACACTAAACATAATCGCTTCGAGCTGAAATTCCAATGACCATTTAGCTCGCCTTAGCCTTCATCAGACTATATTTAAGGCATTAAAGTAGACAATCATCACTTTCACCGTGAAGGGCAGCTGAGCCTCGTGTTGTAAGAGTGGAAAAAATAAATTAGATACATCTTATAAATGAGCTTCCTTTTTTTTTTTTTCCAGACTGGACAAACCAGGAAGCTTTAATTCAAGGACCTTGCTAGAAGAGCGGGCAGATGAAGAGTTTCATGCATGTTTACCATCTCGAGCTCCTCGACACGCAGCTGTTTGCGGCACTTGAGGGACACCCTGTGCTCCTTGGCATCCTGCAAAGTATCGTTGCGCACAGTCGTGCTCAGGCAGATCACTACATCCACCCTGCGGACAAGAAAACAGCTTTTTTACTCATTTACCCCTCACTTGGACCAGCCAAGGCTGGTGCTGGATCACCACATCGGAGAAAGTGACCCCAAAAATCCAAGAACAGCATAAAGTCCTTGTGCACCTCTGCTTATTTCTAGCCTGGGTACGGCTCTATGTGGAGTCACTGGATCACAATTAAAACCTAAATCTCATCCTGTCTAATTAGAGTCTAGATTAGCAGCCAGGAAGATATTCAAAAAAATCCCAGCACACCCCCACCACCCAGCAAGACCTCTGCTCTCAAGGCAATGCTTTAGAAAAGCTTTACCTCATCTCAGAACTAGCTGGAGGTGAACACTCACATTGCAAACAATCCTTCTGCGTTATGGGAAGGGCATTTATATCATAAAAGGCAAATGGTCTTGCTACCCACCAGCAGCATCGACCTTGGGTGTAATTTAGCCGTACGCCATTGCAGTAGGCTGTTAAAAAAAATAATCCTTACACTGAAATGAATAAACCAGCTAAAAGAAGCGAGGCATTTCCCTTTCCCAGATCAGCAACTGGAACAACGGTGGCCTGCATCTCAAAAGATGATGAATCTAGCAAGGATATAAAATGTCCACAGTCCACTAATTGGAATCAAGAGGACAGGCTTGTACACAAAAGTAAAGTGGAAGTAATTTTAAAGAGGCAGATGATGTCTCCACCTTAAGCATAAGGGAAAACACACAAAACAATCAGTCTTTAAAGGAATTCCAGTATTTGCTGCTCTACCATGAAATACTGTATAAATACATAATAAAGTTACAGGGTCAGATTGCTGTTTGGTCAGGTGCTACGTACTTTTTTTTGATGTTGGGGCAAAGTTTCAGCACATCCTCCTTGCAAGCCATTTTAAACTTGTAGGAGAACCGAAAATCTTTCATTTGAACCTGCAAGAGAGAAATGAGGGGAAAAAAAAACACAAACCAACTTTGGTCAATCTCAAAAGAAGGAGGGGTTTCCTAATTAGCTAATTCCTGCCAACACCCTCAGGAAGCAGAACAGGCTTCCACCGACAGCAGAGAAAAGCGCTGCTCACCAGCTGGAAGTGAGTAACTCCGATTGCACATTTCTCATTCATTTCCTTCTGGTGTTTGTTCTGTATTAGACACTCCATCAGGTCCCCAGAATCAATCTGGTTATCTGCAACCTCCTGAAGAAGAGATGAAAGGTTTAAAAAATCAGCTAATCTTACAACTCATGATTTTTATGCTCCTGTAGCCCGCTGCGACCAGGAAAGAACAGAACTTACAGTCCCACTCTCTGCTTATGTCTGATTTTACTTTTGAAACATAACAAGCACATCAAGAACAAATACTAAAAACTCTAACCTTTCCCACACAGTGCTTTTTCCCCCCAAAGATATTCAGGTGATTACAGAGCACTCACATGACAGAAAGTCTGGATAATGGGCTCACACGCTCTCATCAGCAAAGCTTCAATTTGAATGTCCTGCAGAAAACACACAATATCTCATTTTCCCAGTGAATGGACAAGAAAAAAGGCTCAAAAAAAAAAAAAAACAACACCCCACCTGTGGGGAACAAGTTAAACTCAATCCAGTTTACAGGGTTTTTAAGAGAAAAGCCTGGTCTCCACAGAAACTCACTGCTTGGATATTTCAGCCAACCCTCTCCGATCTGGATGCTAGAGCACTAGAAATCACCTCACACCTAGGTGGGAGTTCAAGATCAGTGATAGTTCTGAACAAACCATTTCATAACCACTGGGAGGAAGCTTTTCCTAGGGCACAATGTCAATTTTAGGAGGTATGGGGAACAGTTTGGGGCCAGACAGTCAAATGTGCAGCTTCATAAAAGAAGTAAAGCTGCTGACCTCACTGAAAACCTCTAATGATGCACCTGGCAGTTACTTCTTGCAAGATTTTTGCAACAGGAGGAGGGAAGATGCAATATGGTACTCAAAACTACTTGTACTAAAGGTAACAGGGTCACCTGTGAAATCTTAGCTTCCCTACCATAATTTTAAGCAGATGTCATCACCAGCCTGAAACCCTGAATCATTGTTCAATTCTCTTCCTCGAAAACCCCACGTGAAAACTTAACGTTGTACAGATCCCAGAGAGATGCATTTCTGCAGTACTCCAACCTCACTTCTTTTCATCACCATCGACATGATGTGCTTAACTAGTCATGCTCAACTCTTGCCTTTAGCCCAGGCTGCCAAGCACTCACCTCAGACTCCAGCTCCGTGAGGTTTCCCACAACATCTCTGCAATCAGACACCAAGTCATCGAGATGGTCCTGAAGGCATTCCAGCTCCTACAAAACCAGCCATTTTAGCGAGCAAATTGACAACCCAATTTGAAGATATGGACTCAAATTATTATTAATGCACGTGAAACTGCCCTCTTCGTAAAGTCCTAAACCTCATTTAATCCCCCTCCTCTGCTGGCACTCCCAGAACACACATACGAAGCAGCGATTAAGGATGTTGGTTTAGGAAGTTACCACTTGTTCTCAAAAGCTGCGTGATGCGCTTCCACTTCTGGAATATCACCATGTAATTTGCCCTTCACATAACCTTAATGAGCGGTTAATTAGCCAAACGACAACCTATGATGGGCACTTGAAAAAGACAATGGCATATGCTCTACCGCATCTGCTGTCGAACGGCTCCTCCCCGACAGCTCTGCGAGGCCACTGCCATTTAACACCAAAGTATTTGTTGAAATTTTGTTAAGGAGCAGCAGATGTTAGTTCAGTTCTCTATAAACACAGGAAGCACGTCAGTATTTGCCAAATGGAAATGGGATAAAGTTTATGTGGGAAATGTCAAGCTTATAATAGAATATTCCAAATAAGAGTCAGGGTAGGGTGGGGTTGTTTCATTGAAGTCCTTCTCGTGAACTATCCCCTTCTCATCTCACTACACATTTGAACCTCCTGAAGCCCTGCAGTAGGTGCAAAGCTTCCTCGTACCACTTCCGCCTCTCAGTCTAGTGTAGATTATATTAAAAACATGCACAGTTTGAAACAGTCTCAGGTATAAAGAGACAACTTAAAACAAGTTTTATCCCCATTTTTGCCCATCCCACCCCTCCTGCTTTGCAGACAGGAGTTCCTGCACACAGTACCTGCCCCGTCTCCGTTTTCTCGCTGCACCACTTGCCCAGGTCAATCATGCACTTGTCCTGGAGGGTCGGGTCCAGCTTCACGTCCATGGCACGCTGGTGGAGGATCCTCTGCACCTCCGCTCGGCACTCCCGCGATAGCTGCAACGAGGGCAAAAAGCCTTTAGGATACGGGGGTCTCTAAATCCCTATAATGCAAAGATGATGTTTTTAGGTAACAACGTACCAAGAGTGACCACGAATGCCACCAGCAATCCCAGAAAGCACAGAAGTCATCCTGTACTGCTCAGCACGAACCTGCTGGGGCTCCCACAAGCAAAGTTTTATCCCCATTTTTGCCCATCCCACCCCTCCTGCTTTGCAGACAGGAGTTCCTGCACACAGTACCTGCCCCGTCTCCGTCTTTTCGCTGCACCACTTGCCCAGGTCAATCATGCACTTGTCCTGGAGGGTCGGGTCCAGCTTCACGTCCATGGCACGCTGGTGGAGGATCCTCTGCACCTCCGCTCGGCACTCCCGCGATAGCTGCAACGAGGGCAAAAAGCCTTTAGGATACGGGGGTCTCTACATCCCTATAATGCAAAGATGATGTTTTTAGGTAACAACGTACCAAGAGTGACCAGGAATGCCACCAGCAATCCCAGAAAGCACAGAAGTCATCCTGTCCCAGGCTCCAAGAGAGTTTGGAGCTTTGTCATGTAGTTTGGAGGGAGGCTCCTCTCACTCCACTAAAATCATGCATTCTTAAACCTTCCCGTTGCTTTTGAAGGGAGTCAAACCAGCTCATGCCCTCAACACCAAAGGGGAAGCCCAGAACAAGGCAACATAGCTTTTGAAGGGAGTCAAACCAGCTCATGCCCTCAACCCAGAACAAGGCAATATTGTCTGGCTGTAATTTCTTCTCAGCAACCCCCACCGCAGCACGCCAGAGACAGCATTTGCCAAGACAGAGGAAGAAACAAATTGTAGAAAACCAAGGGATACTGATATGGTGCTTGTCAGACCGAAAATGCACCAGTCAGAGCTTAAAACGTTATACATTTAAAAATCCAAAGCACTGAGAGTCACCTAGCATTTCCTGGGCAGCACTGGAAGAAAGTCCAGATCTAATCCCTGAAGAGTTTGCTTTCTAACACTAAATTTCAAAACGACAGCTTCTCCCTTAGCCTACTTTCCACCAGAAAAATACATTTAAAAGCCTTTTCTCTCTCTGATAGATTATTTGCAGGGTGGCTATTGATTTCTTTGGTCAGCACTAATACAAAATGGAATTAAGGAGTCTCAATTCAGCAGACTAAGAAACTGCATTAAAAGAATTATTCCTAAAAGAGAGATACTTTCAATCGATACTTGACCTCTGCCATGAAAGATCTTTTAAATCAAGCTGTAGAAATTAATTTTTTAAGCCAGACCATTGTGTAAACTCACCAACTCCTAGGGGTGGCATACACTACAGTGCCAAAAGAAACGGAAGCAAGTACCCAGCTGCCTTGATAAAGGCACAAGAGGGCAGCAAACTTGGAAAGAATAGCTCTAAACAAAAAAAAAGCGATTATGGTGGATCTCCAGATTGCAGGGGCAGCAAGTCACATCCCTAATGTCTTCTCTAAAGGCAGCATAAGCACATTTACTGGGACAGTACGCTCCAAAGAAATGAAAGGATGCTTTATATCACTAGGAAGAACTTGATGGAGTATCATCTGAAGTTGTACTCGGATCAAAATTTAATTAGAAACAGCCCAGGAAAGCTGGGCTTGGAACTCCTTTTTGCATAAACCCAATTCTGCAGCTATGCTAGCTATTTGCAAGGAATCGCATTCCTCTTTGGGAAGACAAGGGGGAGGACCTGCCCTGTGTCCAAATTGACGTACACAAGCTGTTGTCAGCACACAGTTACCCCTGCGGGCAATTATCACATCTCCATGTGTCTCCTTCTCCTTCCCAGACCACCACCACTGACCTTCGGGGCACATTTGAGGTGGAGTTTGCACCCGAAGTGGTGGAAAAGGCTTTTAAAGTAGCTTTTGCAAGTTCTTGTGGTTTTAGCGGAGCGTGTCCAACTTCCAAACACGTGTGCAACCCCTTCTGTGGCAGATGACAGAGTGGTTGAAGTGGCACTCACCCTCCTGCCCTGCTCCTCTGTGCGGTAGGCGTGCCTGTACAGGCAGGAGAAGACAGCCCCCGGGGGCATCAGCTCACTGGTCTCGTTCCAGCCATGGGTATGGCACAGACGGGAGGCATCGCCCTGACACTTGCGGTAGAGGACGGTATCCAACCTGCAGACAGAAAAGTTATCACCAGCACTTTCACAGAATCACAGAATCATAGTGGTTGGAAAGGACCTCAGAGATCATCGAGTCCAACCAACACAAAAAAAAAAAAAAACCCCCACAAAAAACACAAACCACCACCCACCACCTAAACACACAACAACAACCACCAAACCAAAAACCATCACCCACCCACACAGCACCCCACCACAAACCAGTAATCTTGGGCACTAGAGCATGCCCTGAAGAACCATGTCTACACGTTTCTTAAATACCTCCAGGGATGGTGACTCCACCACCTCCCTGGGCAGCCCATTCCAATGCTGGATAACCCTTTCAGTAAAGAAATGTTTCCTAATATCCAACCTGAACTTCCCCTGGCGCAGCTTGAAGCTGTTACCCCTTGTCCTGTCATCTGTAACTTGGAAGAAGAGACCAACCCCTGTCTCTCCACACCCTCCTTTCAGGTACTTGTAGAGAGCAATAAGGTCTCCCCTCAGCCTCCTCTTCTCCAGGCTGAATAACCCCAGTTCCCTCAGCCTCTCCTCGTAAGACTTGTGCTCCAGACCCCTCACCAGCTTCGTTGCCCTTCTCTGGACCCGCTCCAGCACCTTTATTGAAACCTTCAACTTTTTTTCAGATTCTGAAACGCTTTTGGAGGCAGAAAAACCCACTTCAAGTTTCACACCCCGCCGCGTCGTTTAGCAGCCGTGCCCAACCACCGGGTGGTGAAATGCCTGTCGCTCAACCTGGAATCAACTCCCCAGGCTCGCAAAAACAGACAAATATCTTTAATTACAGATGAAATCTCCAACGCTTCTTCAAGCCTCTCCCGTTCTCTTCTGCAGCAACCCAGCCAAATGCTGACGCACGGGAAAAGAAATCAGCTCCTTGATGTCCTCAAGCAGCAGAAAGGCAGGTACACACCGTGCTTTGCTTGTTATAATACCTTACGTGTGCTTTGTACTGCTGCCATTGTGAAATGCCAGTTTCATAAAAATCTCAGTTAGATAAATTGTCTGCTCCGGATTTGAGCTAACTGAAGACTCAGCATTTCTCGCTTTTGCATACAAGAAAACTGCAAGGGCAGATCTCTTAAGATGATGTCTAATTATATTAAAGTTCGGTGAGATATTGCCAACCTCCCAAAACAGAAACTTCAGATTTCTACACCACTTCAGAAGGCAAGCATCAAGTGATATCAGGGGACACAGTTATATAGACAATGATAAAAGTAGTAAGAAAACCGTTTTTACTCCGTGCATCTGTGCCTGGCACACAGTTAATACAACAGTTTTTATAAGCCAGTTCTAGGAACCAGTGGTTAAACAAAAAGATGAGCTCATGTTGCCCAGCCTGCAATATGAATTATCTTTACTCCCAGCAAAATGCAAATACTCAGTCTTCCTTCTTCCCATCACTTAAGTTTGGCTCAAGCAATGAACTACCTGCTGGAAACAGGGCACTGGCAGGAGAACCAGAAATGAAGTGAAACAGGAAGAGGAGGAAAAAAAAAAATAATGAAGTATTCTTGTCTACCTATGGAGACAGTTATGGAGATGACTAAAACAGTCACAAAGCCCTAAACACTCTGGTCCATGAAGCTCCACATATTTTAAGAGCAGAAGGTTCACAGAGATTCTTAAGAGTCAGCTCTTAACTACTGGCAATGCTGCCCACAGATGTGAGTCAGATTTTCTTAACGTTTGATTTGAATCCCCTTTGCAGGAATGGAAGCTCATGACTTCTTGCCTTACACTCCTTGTGGTCACTGAGAACAATTATTCCATTTCTCGCAGCAACCCCATTCAATACGCTAATTCCACACTTCTCAAGCTTCTTCACAAGAAAAGCCAAAACACTTATTTTTTTCCTCACTGGCCATGTTTAACAAATTGATACTCTCCTCATCTTAACCCAGGCAGACACAAAGGGCTCTGTATATATTTAAAACAAAGCGCTGCCATCTCTGGATGAGAGAAGTTGGAAAAGCAGTGCTCCAGAGGGAATTACATCTGCTCTACAGGCTGCAATCACAGCCAGAGAACTCAAAAAAAGGCAGAAGTGGAAGCAGGGAGCCTCTCACACAGTGGGTCTTTGTTACACTCCGCAGCGCGGTTTTCCTGACTCCCATACTGGAGCACTCAGAGCGGATAAAGCCGGCTGCCACCTGCACAGAAAGTGACCTTCAACTTCAACATGGCCAGAGGACGTCTTTTAATGAAAGACGCATTGAATTTCAGAGCTCTAACTCGAGGTTCTTTTTAAGGCTGCATCATTTCTAAGTGAGTGCCTCATTTAAGCGGGCATCACACGTACTTTTTCTAAGCAGCTTTTGCTTCTACTGTTCTGTAGACACCAATGCCCTACAGACCTGGCACCTCAGAAGTCCTCTTTCCAATAAGAATAAGTGATATTGTTTTACCAGGAGTTGCTAATGCATACGAACACTCAATATAAGCACCAAGAGAGGACACATCTTGTTTTACAGGACTCACTTCCAGTCACGAGAGATGAAATACTGGAGCTCCAGAAGCCTGTGCTCACAGTCCTCTACCATCTTCTCAGTATACAAGTGCTCCATCAGGCAGGACAGGATCCTGCAAACACAAGAAGGTGGTTAAGCAACAAACTGTTGTTATCGTGCTGAGCTTCCTTCAAGATTGCATCTAAAACAACCATACACCACATTTTTACCCTCTTAAATCCCTTTGTTTCAGCTATCTCAGCAAGTCTGATAGATGACAAAATCATCAGGACTATTTTATCCTGGCTCAGGGGACACTATATCAGACCTGGAGATAAAGGAGACATTTGTCTCTGGTTTGCTTAACCGAGCCTTTCAAGGCTGTTACTTTTCTAGGTGATATTGCTAAAGACTTACATCCTCAGAGAAATTAGCACATCAAATGTTACAAACGTAATCTAAGGGCCTGAGATAGCTACGTCCTTCACCAGTGGTATTTTTATAACAGGGCAGGTTTAGCAGCCTCCTTGTACAGCAAGAACGAAGAGGGAGCTCAGTTGACACCTCCAACCCTGGATGAACCACTAGACTGGAGCCCGTCGTTTCTTCTGGAGGGGTTTTTTAGGATCTATATTGATCATACAGCCAACCTCCACGGATGGCCAAGAGAACCAAAAGCCAGTGGTAAGGCAGAGGCACCTACATGGGGTCTCCGGAGCGTATGTGCTTGCAGGCCGTCTGGATCACCGACTCGCAGGCCTCGTTCAGCGCCCGGTCGATGCGGTAATCTGCGCCGGGGTCCGTCTCCTGGATCAGCGTCTGGAGCTGCACAGGAAAACCAAGTTAAAACCATCAAAATGAGAGCATTTGCAACTTCCCAAGCATGGCAAATCTACAGCAGTAACACTGCTGCCAGGTACCACCTCTGCTCTACAGCTGAGCATTTCATCCTCCTCCTCTCACTGGAGGAGAGCAGGCGTGTACCGAAGGTCAACCATAAATCTGGACCCATTATATACTGATTTACAAAACAGAAATGGTAAAAATTGAATACTGTCTTTCTGATCCACCCCTCGCCCCATAAGGCTGATGATGCCAAACGTGCAAATCTGTCCCATTTCCTTAAGGACCATCTACTCTTCTAAACTGAAAACCAAACCCATGTTTAAAGACCAGTCGCCGAACTACAAACAAAGCTTCAAACTATTTCTGAAGTACTCGGAGAGAACAAAAATTTCACTGAAATACAGGATGAAACGACCTGTTCTGCTGGGGCATGAAATATCATTTCCTCGAGCACACCTGCTCAAGCTTTTGGAAGGCCACAAAAAGTGGGTTTTTTGGACTAACCACAATTTAGCTGAGATTTATAGACAGATTTGAAGGAAATCTGGGTAAACCTCAGCCTCACTCAATCTACAGTTTTGGGGAGGACAGTAACTTTCTGGGCCATAACTCAGCCCAGGATGCCCACAGCCCACTTCACACAGGGCACACTAGTATCATCATTCCATGTTTTTAGCTGACAAATTTGGAGTAAAAACCCCAAATTTTAAAAAGAGAGCTGGCTTAGAAGGCAACTGCACAAGGACATCAAATGTTCTATGCTGTTAACATCTTGACACTTAATGATTTTTATTACAGGCCCCCAGCTCAACTAAGTCAATTTTATTCTCCATCTTTCAAAGTCTCTACCTAAACACCATGCAGGAAACTTTGAGGGGCAAAGCCCTACCAGCACAAAACATAAAGAAGAAGGGGAAAAAAGCATCAGAGAACCCCAGAAAATAAAAGCGTGAGCTATTTATCCAATAGGAAACCTGTAATCAAGAGGCCAAACCACAGACTGCCTGGGAGGAACACAGGATTTCCTGCAACTTGCTCTTGGCCAAAGTTAATTAGGCCCAGCTTTGGTTTCTGAGGGACACAGGCAGCTAGGAAGAGCACTGCCCAGCAGGCACTAGCTGATTATTCAAAAATTCTTGGGATGTTTTCACTAAAAAACAATAATAATAAAAAAGAAACATTTTATACGACACTTGACAGTGATCAAACAGAAGGATCCACACAGGATCCAGATAGTAACAGGGAGCCATACCTTAAACAGAAGAAAGGATAATTTATAAACCCTTTACAAACTTTGTAACAGTTCAAAGCAAGAAGAAAAAGAATACGATTGTTGTGCTGGCACACACAGCTTGCACGGATGGGCAACACACAAAGTGCAGGGATCACTTTATGTCAGATGTCTACGTATGAAAAGGGATCAAGTAAGATTAGAGGAATTCCCCCCTTAAGGACGAATGGGTGAATTAAAACCTCCAAAATGACACTTTCTTACACACAGGGATTAAATAAACTGGCCAGAGCACAGAAAGACATGGAGCTGTTGGATGGGGCCAGAGGAGGCCCCGGAGATGCTGGGAGGGCTGGAGCCCCTCTGCTGGGAGGGGGGGCTGAGAGAGTTGGGGGGGTTCAGCCTGGAGAAGAGAAGGGTCTGGGGAGACCTTCCAGCCCCTTCCAGTCCCTAAAGAAGGGGGGCTCCAGGAAAGCTGGGGAGGGACTCTGGATCAGGGAGGGGAGCCCTAGGAGGAGGGGGAAGGGTTTGGCCCTGCAAGAGGGGAGATGGAGCTGAGCTGTGGGGAAGAACTTGTTTGGTGGGAGGGTGGGGAGAGCCTGGCCCAGGTTGGCCAGAGAAGCTGTGGCTGCCCCATCCCTGGAGGGGTTCAAGGGCAGGTTGGAGGGGGCTTGGAGCAACCTGGTGTGGTGGGAGGTGTCCCTGCCCAGGGCAGGGGGTGGCACTGGGGGGGCTTTGAGGTCCCTTCCAACCCAAACCATTCTATGATTCTATATAGGCAGGATTCTTCCTCAGGCCTCAGTTTAGGCAGCCTTTGTGTTGGTACCCAGTGCACTTTGGCCTCTTCCACTTGGTACAACAGTTCAGAAGGACCCGGTCACATCCCAGTCACTCTTGCCCCATACTGGGCCCTGCTGCAGGATTCCCAGTTCTGATCCTCAACCGTGTGCAGGATTTGGAGCCGTGAGGCAGCTGCCCTGGCTGCAGGGGCATGGGAATAATTTGGCACCGGTGATAAAAGAAAAGGTTTTATAGGATTTTCCTCCCTCTCACAACCACCCCTTGCAGCTAAAAAGCAGCCAGATAACCATTATAATCCTCTGAACTTTTACCCCAATGTGAAGCTAAATTAACAATTAACTATCAGTTTATTAACTGTATTAGATATGAGAAGCAGAAATATCTGCCCTTTTAGCAGAGATTATAGCTTTCCATGTTCAAGGGACTGAACAGAAAAAGCAAAGATGAGACCGGAGCAACATAAAAGCCACATTATTGGAAAAAACAGTGTTCCAGCAGCTCTAGTATAAAACACTGCTTCTACTAAGCAACACCAAAGGTGAGAGATGCTGCCAGTACTGCTGCAGAACTTTAATGAGCTGATGCTCACAATTAAGGGACACGTATCGTGCAGAATCTCCATCTCTGAAGAATAACAATGATATTTGCAGAAGACCATTTAATGACCAGAACATATCCAAGCTGTATGTGCCTCCCCAAAGCAAAGAAGAGCTTGTTCTACATGGGAAGACACGCTCCTGTGATGTATCTCATGCTGACGGTGGGGTTTTTTTTTTTTTTGGTAATAAAACACATAGTATCAAGAACTCTCCAGGTTGGAAGCAACCTTTAAGATCATTGGGTTCAACCATCAACCTAACACTGCCAAAGCCACCACTAAACCCACATCCCTGAGCATCACATAAGCCCAGCTTTTAAATACCTCCAGGGATTGTGACTCTACCACTTCCCTGGGCAGCCTGTTCCAATGCTTGACAACCCTTCTGGGGCAGAAATTTTCCCCAATATCCATCCTAAACCTCCCCTGGAGCAACTTGAGGCCGTTTCCTCTTGTCCCATGGCCTGTTCCTTGGGAGAAGAAGCCAGACCCCCCGGCTACACCCTCCTTTCAGGGAGTTGGAGAGACTGAGAAGGTCTCCCCTCAGCCTCCTTTTCTCCAGGCTCAACACCCCCAGCTCCCTCAGCTTCTCCTCACCCGACTTGTGCTCCAGACCCCTCACCAGCTCCACTGCCCTTCTCTGGACCCGCTCCAGCACCTCAGTGTCCCTCCTGTCGTGAGGGGCCCAAACCTGAACACAAGAAGTGAAACCCCTCAGGATCAAGAAATCAGGGCACCAGAAGGTTTGAGAACACATCGTCAGTTTTCAGTACAAAGAATCACCCATGTTCTTTGTGCAGAAAATGGTAAGAACAGATGCTCCTGCAGGAAATCATGCAGACCCTTCAGTTACGTTTTGGCGATTTGGGGGGTTTTTTTGTGTCTTGTTTTTGGCAGATGGGCAAACATCTTCTGATAAAAGGCAAGCGGAATCAGAGCAAACCTTGACAGACAGGACAGTAAGTAAAACCGGATCCAAATTAGATATCTTCCATTCCAATTTCCTCAAACAAACAGTCCAAGCAAGTGTGTCTGGTCCTACAGCTTCTACAGTGAAGAGTTTCAGGACTAGTGCTACTGCTTTGAGCTAGCCAAGAAATTGTAGTGCTGTATCAGCGTTATCTACTGATGCTACTAAAAGCACAGGGACACGAGTTTTTGACTGCACATAGAAAAGAAAACATCTGGAGTTGGGCCCAAAGCACTGCAGCCAGCTCTGCTGGGACAAGCCCAACACAGCCCTTTTTCCACAAGCAATAAGGTAGAGATGTCACAGATGGGTAGTTCCACCACCACCAGTCACACCAAAGTTCAACCTGAGAGCATCACCACCATGTTCCTGAAATAAGAATCACCTGAGAACATCAGAAAGCAAGGACAAACATCACTCAACTTTGGTCTAGCTGGACTTGGGCCAAAGCCACGCGGACCAAGCAGTAGCCAGGAGGTGAGCAAGCAGGAGATGGCTGAAACAGAACAGCCATTTATCTGCAGATGAGGAACCACTGGAGGTACAAAGTGACAGGAGCTCTCACCAACTATAGATTTGGGGTTTTTTTGTCTAAACAGTCCATGCTCTTTGATGCAGTCTGCTTACTAGTTTTCTGGAAACCCCAACACAGGTCAATCTTTTCCCCATGAACGAATTTGCTGAAGCAGCACCTCTGAGGCCATCTGTATGTCTCAAAGACCAAACTATACCCACATATGGCAACAAAGAAGTTGAGAAACTGGCTTCAGGAAAGCATCAGTGGCTCAGCAGTAGCACACATCTATCCAAAAGGAAATGAAGTAGCTCCTGCTACTATGAAGGGATGGACCTCTAAATTTGCCTTCTTCACAGGCCAATCTCATACGACAGGCGAGTTTGAGTCTCTTGCACAAGTATGTGGAAGGGTTTCAGATAATATTCTCTTCCTTGAAAAGATAATTCATCTACTATAGAATGAGCTTCTTGCTTTTACCTTCTCACACAATTTAAAACAGAAGAAAACCCAGTGACAGCCGAGACAACCATTACCTTTCACATACCAAAATATCAACAATAAATGATTTAGTAGCTCAGAAGTCACAGACAGCTATATAACAGCACCACGCCAGTCCTCAGGAACTCACAGCTCTGGAACTTTTATCCTATTCTTGCAATCATCTATTTCCTCTTGCCCATAAAAAACCCAGTGACAGCCGAGACAACCATTACCTTTCACATACCAAAATATCAACAATAAATGATTTAGTAGCTCAGAAGTCACAGACAGCTATATAACAGCACCACACCAGTCCTCAGGAACTCACAGCACTGGAACTTTTATCCTATTCTTGCAATCATCTATTACCTCTTGCCCATAAAAATACACACAAACCAACTGTATTTTATAAAAATCAAGACTAAGTGTCTTGATTTTGCTGTCTTAAGAACAGAACATAGGTCATTCAGCTTGAAGGGAGTCATGGACAAGCTCTGCTGCTTCATAAACTTATTGTACAAAAATAAAGCAGAAGCTTAAGCATAAGAGAACTGAAAAAAGAAAACCCTGAGATTTTTACAGACATTCTTTTTCCCCCAGAGGTCTGAAATCTCCTATCACTTTTGGGGGTCCCCTGCTTCTTTGTGTTATCACTTGTTCCGAACACAAACGTCATGGTCTGTGAGTTATTCCCAAAAGATGAACTGATCTGACAATGTCCAAATAATCAAGGTCTGAGGCAGCGAGTTCAATTTCATATTTAAACAGAACCAAGAGTTCAGTTTTTCACGGTAATGTTGCAAAGCATAAGTCACCCACTGCAGCTCACTGCAGAAATGACTCAAACCCTGTAGCTGCTGTGCCAATACACCTGGTATTTATGCAGAAATAAGCTTCAGCACAACGGCATCTCCTATGCCTTACAGAAATTTAACAGATATTCATTTATCTTCGAATTACATGCACAGCCTGGCAACATTTGGGGCTCAGGCTTTGAGCTGCATTTACATGGAAAAAGGACTATAGTGGTGCCAGGAGGTCAAGAGGATACATCTCCAATTCCCACATCAGCACTGACACTCCCTGGTGTCACTCCAGTTTGGCACTGATGTCACTTTTCCAGGCTCAAGGGTCACTAAAAGCAGGTATTAAGTACAAAATTGTAATATTAGGTTAAAAAGCACTAATGAGTTCGAACAAATATTAAACAATTGTTTTCAATTTAAAGAATGTACAAAAAATTGAGTTTAAAAAGGGCACAAGAATCCTCCTGTTTTAAGAGGTATTTTGGAGAGGAATGACATTTCCTTCAGCGGCTGCAACCACGGCGCTGTGCAGCAGCACATTGTGCCTACCTGTCCCTCATGGTCCATCCCCATCGTTTAAACTGAATTAAAATTACAAAAATAAAACTGAGCAGGGAAAGGTGTTTTGAGAAGATTTAGTGCTTTTCCAAGGACAGGGCATAGGGGGGGAAAAAAAGGAAGGAGAGGGAATGCTTTAACACTTATAAAAAAAGCAAGTTTTCCTATGTCTTGCACCCGGGAGAGAACTCCACAACTTGAGAGCTGCTGGAGAAGAACTACTGGAGTAAGAAATCCAGAGCAAAACAATCCAAAATGCATTTTGTAAGGAAAAAAAAAAAGAAAAAGGACATTAATAACATGCTGCTAGATACCAAGTTACACTTTATACCACAACAATTTACACAGCTGCCTCCAGCCTTCCCTGGTAGCCAGCAGAGCCGGAGTGCCTTCAGAAGAATCTCCATCTCAAGGCAAAATGTTCACGAAAAATCATTGTTTCTACCAAGTGAGCAATCCCTGAAGGGAAGGGATGGAAAAGCATCTCACCGCCTGCTGGCAGTTCAGCCCGACGTTCCCCTTTTCGCCCCGAACCACTTTCATCAGGCAGTGCAGGGTGCGGCCCTTGCGGTGCAGGCCCGAGCAGTGGTGCTCGATCTCCCCTCGGCAGCTGAGGATGATCTCTGGGCTCAGCGAGAAGTCCTCCATCAGCATGCGGCGGTAATCCAGCATCTCGCCCTGGCACTCGCTGCTCACCTGGCGACCTGGGCCAAGAGAAGACCAAGCAATTTAGTTTTCATGCTGCTTCTCGTTGACGGGGCCGTCCCACCACCACCACCATGCTCTTGTTGATGCCCCCCACCCCAGCCCCCCACCACCACGGCCACGCTCTTGTTGATGCCCCCCACCCTGGCCACGCTCTTGTTGATGGGGCCGTCTCACCACCACAACCACGCTCTTGTTGATAGGGCTGCCCCACCACCACGCTCTTGTTGATGGGGCCGCACCACCACGCTCTCGTTGATGCCCCCGCCCCACCACCACCACCACGCTCTCGTTGATGGGACCGCCCCATCACCACCACCACCACGCTCTCGTTGATGGGACCGCCCCACCACCACGCTCTTGTTGATGGGGCCGTCCCACCACCACCACCATGCTCTTGTTGATGCCCCCCACCCCAGCCACGCTCTTGTTGATGGGGCCGCACCACCATGCTCTTGTTGATGGGGCCGCCCCACCACCACCACCACGCTCTTGTTGATGGGGCCGCCCCCCCACCACGCTCTTGTTGATGGGGCCATCCCACCACCACGCTCTTGTTGATGGGGCCGCCCCCCCACCCCGGCCACGCTCTTGTTGATGGGGCTGCCCCACCACCACGCTCTTGTTGATGGGGCTACCCCACCACCACCACCATGCTCTTGTTGATGGGGCTGCCCCACCACCACGCTCTTGTTGATGGGGCCGCTCCCCACCGCAGCCACACTCTTGCTGATGGGGCTGCCCCCACCACCACGCTCTTGTTGATGGGGCTGCCCCACCACCACCACCACGCTCTTGTTGATTCCCCCCACCCCAGCCACGCTCTTGCTGATGGGGCTGCCCCCACCACCACGCTCTTGTTGATGCCCCCCAGCCCAGCCATGGTCTTGCTGATGGGGCTGTCCCCACCACGCTGGAAGAATAGGGACAATGTCCAGAGTTTGGAGAACACCAGATTGCAACAAACCCCATTGATTAAACCCCAGATTGCCGGGGTTTAAACCAGTCGTTATGGTAGGCGCCAGCATTTAATTGAATCTGTGGTATTTCCCAGTCTATGGATTCAATGTGTGAATTGAGGGGGAAAAAAAAAAAAGGGATTCCTGAAAGATTAGGAGAATCTTATTTTGGATTTCACATTACAGGAGGGATTAGGAGAATCTTATTTTGGATTTCACATCACAGGAGGTGCTTTTCACGGAATCACAGAATTTTCAGAGTTGGAAGGGACCTCTAGAGATCATCTGGTCCAACTGCCCTGCTGAAGCAGGAATGCTTTGAGCACATCACTCAGGAGCATCCAGGCGGGTCTTGAAGATCTCCAGAGAAGGGGACTCCACGACCCCCCTGGGCAGCCTCTTCCAGTGCTCCATCACCCTCACCATACAGAAGTTTTTTCTCATATTTGAATGGAACTTCCCATGTTCCAGCTTGAGCCCATTGCCCCCTGTCCTATCGCTGGAAACCACTGAAAAGAGTCCGGCTCCAACATCCTTCAACTCACCCTTTAGATACTTATAAACAAGGTCTCCCCTGTTTTGAAGAACAGCTGAAAACACACTGTGGATGTGCTGCAGGTCAGCTATTCCCTGTATGCTCAACAAAAACAGGAGTCACCTCTGGTCATTTACCAGCTCGGTATCTAATTGGGGGGAGGAATTTGTCCAACAGCAGGTTAAGCATTTTCTGAGGAAAAGGTTTTCTATAGCAACAGCATATACTTACTCAGGAAGCCAAAAAAAACAGAATAGGAGATGTTACCCAGAGTATATATGGAGCGTGTAACAAACCAGCTGCAGTTGTATAGAAATCTAGCTTTAATAAATGTTTCCATCTGCTGTATGCTTTCCTACAGTCCCATGTAGAAAGAGGTTTCTTTGAGTCTAAAGGAACATGTTGGCTTTTTTGCCATGTGCTCCTCCAGCCCTCCCATCACCACCTATTCACACGTGTACAACGCCCTGTGCCACAGAGCTCCTACAGCTCAAGAGGGGCTCCTGGGCATTATAAAGAGACACACAGAAATGTGGGGAATAATTAGTGTTCCTCCTGGGCTATGCTTTGTGCACAAGCCACACGGCTGCAGAACCTGTTCCGCCAGGAAAAGTGGAAGTTAATAACTGAACAACAGTTTTCTGCAGGTAATTCAGGAAAGCACTTGCCCTACTGCAGGGAAAAGGGAGGGGAAAAACCCAACCCACAACTTTTCCACGGACAGGACACATCATTTCCACATCAATCAGAAGCAAGGAGTTATTCAAAGTCATAAACGCACAGATTGCTTATGGTGTTAGAGCAGCATTGCAGCCTGCAGCCCCGCTGAGGAATCAGAAACCACCCAGCTGCACGCCAAGGGGAAAGCCAAACAACTCTCCAGTACAGATCTAGAGGATATAACATTATTTTATATGTTAAGGCAATTTCACAGAGAACCTCTAGTTGGTCCTGCTGCACAGGGTCTTCCAATGCCCTTTACACAGCTACTGGTGTTAGAGCATCACCAGCTTACACTAAGTTAAACGAATATAAAGAATATTCTCACTCTTCCCTTCCTTCTATATAGGAAAAACCAGAACTAGTGAAATTATAGCATTTACCCAAGGTACTGAACTGCAAAGAAAGGACACTGCTTATGAGAGGCAGAGGACTGAGTATCTCTGGCTTTCCCTGAGTGATGATAAACAGGTTCTCTGTTTTAACCTGGTAGCATATTTAGTGCTTGCTACATAAAGGAGAAAAAAGCTGCTTGAATTCACAGTGAATAGAAGGATTTGCAATTTCACACCATCAGTCCAAGGGAGACTTGCTAGTCTGCATTTTAAACTTCTTGCCTCAACAACAGGAGTCAACATTCCTTCTGAGGAGAGGCTGAGGGACTTGGGGCTTTTGAGTCTGGAGAAGAGAAGGCTGAGGGGGGATCTGATCAATGCTTCTAAATACTTAAAGGGAGGGTGTCAGGAGGATGGGGCTGGTCTTTTTTCAGTGGTGCCCAGGGACAGGACAAGAGGAAATGGGCACAAACTTGAATAGAAGAAGCTCCACCTAAACATGAGGAGAAACTTCTTTCCTTTGAGGGTGGCAGAGCCCTGGAAGAAGCTGCCCAGGGAGGTGGTGGAGTCTCCTTCTCTGGAGACATTCCAACCCCACCTGGACACGTTCCTGTGGGACCTGCTCTGGGTGGCCCTGCTTTGGCAGGGGGTTGGACTGGATCATCTCCAGAGGCCCCTTCCAGCCCCATGGGATTCTGTGATTTGAGGTTTACTCAGCTATTCTGACCTTCAAAACACACGAAGAAAGCATGACGACGAGGAAACTTGCCTCTGAGCCAGAGTTTGGGACAGGTTACTTGGAGAAGGGGACTGTAAATACACATCGAACTTGAAAGTCCAGGAGAAACTCGAAATCAAGGTCCCATCTCTTGATTCAACCCCCCCCTTACCTCTGTGCACAGCAGACTCCAAGCACATGAGCAGGTAGGAAAGCCTGGCTTCCCGAGAGCGGGGCAGGTTCTCCACGTTACAGCGGTATTTCTTCAGGTCGCTCTTACAGGACTTTGCCAGCGAGTAACTGACTTTGTAGTCCTGGGCGATGAGCTTCTGGCGGGTGGTCAGCGCATCGCGACACTGCAGGAGAGGGGGATGGGACAGAGAGCTAAGTTTTCAAGTTGCATTTCAAAAAGACAACCAACATTTTAAAATTCTTGCCTTTAAGCCGGACTGCGGTTAAATTTCATTTGTCTCATGGAAACCAGGCAGTTAACGCACACCGGGGTCAACACATCCAGGGTTTTAAAGGCAGCAGCTCTCCGCAGAGCTCTTCTTAAAACTGCACATTCATCCAGCTCTTTGTGAAGAGCTGTGGCTGAGAGCGTGACTCATCCGCGGTAACTAGGATCAGTGGCTGACATTTATCCCAGCTGTGGTACATGCTCACCCCATGCCCTCAAGAAACAACTTTTTTCCAGTCGCATTTACAAAATAATGTGTTTTTTGGATCCGCTCTGCAACACGCCGAGCAGATGAGAGCAGAGATGAGAGCAGATCAAGCAGTCCAACCATGGGAATTTCTAGCCGTTTGCCAGCACCGGTGAGGATGCACCGGGGCCAAACCCAAACCCAACAGCTGCAAGAACAACCCTCTAAATTTCATCCAAAAAAGGGCCTGTAAAAACACTGCCACGCTCCGCAGCTTTTGGTTTCAATTACATGAAAATTAAATTCAAGGGCAGCGGATAATTTAGAATAGCTCAGGCAAATTTGTCCGTTCTCAGACTATTTGAAAGGAAGGAAAACTGTGCATGTGGGAGAACAGGGAGTGATCTCTGCATAAGGAACAGAAACCCCACAGCCCTCTCCCCTTCCTTACATCATGTTTTTGACTTTACCCCCCCTCTCCTTCCCATACCTGCTCCAGGACCTGAAATATAGATCTATTCACACCCTTCCTTCATGCTCCTTGTCTCTGTACCACGACTGGCACCCTTGGACTGGACAGATGGAAAGTTTGGGACACAGGGAGGTAGAGGCTAGCAGATACTTCATCCCCCAAAGCAGGGGGAGGTGGGTACAGCCTATTACATTCTTATCTTAGACAGTGGACCATGGAAAAGACTCCTCAAACGCCCCCCCCATACCCCTGTGCCACCAAAACCAGGTTAAGCAAAAATAGTGGCCCATTTCAGTGCCGCGCTTGTACAAAATGAAGCTTTGTTTCAAGCCCTCCGGGAGTGTGCTCTCAGTTTTGAATTTGTTAATTGGAACCAGGCTTTCGGATAGCTAATACATTTAACCAACAGGAAATGAGTCTGGTCCCTCCAGGCCTCTGAATCAGGCTCCTTCAGCGGAGCTTCTCCGAGGAGGGTTTTACAGATCCCCATCTTGGGATCCTTTCAGCCAGATGATATAATTCCGTATAATCCCCAACACTCCGGCGCTGCTGCTGACATCACCGAAGGCGTCGCTGCCTTCCCAAAACGCCTACACCAACACAAACTCTTTTCAGGTCTGGCTTTTTTGGTTTTGAAAACAGTATCTTCAGGAAGAACCTAAGGAAAACGTCAGTAACTGAGCTGTGCATCTTTCCCCCAGAATTTGCTGCTTGGTAGTCAGATGCTTACAGAAAAGAGGAGTGAAGTGCACACAGCTGCCCGCGCTGAGGCATTTGGCCATTTGATTTCTCATCTGTAGGTTACGACAGCGATTACCCAATCCCACAGCACGGGGAGACTTCTACTTTAAACACTCACTCAATCACAGCCCTACCACTTGAGCTCCACGTCTACCTTCCCGAATTGCTCAGCCAAAAGCTTTGATTTATTTAAATCCTTAACTTTAAAGGCTGTAACTTCAGCACAATTAATTCAAGCCATCAGCACGTAGCTGGAAACACAAACGTATCAAAGTAAAAGCATCTGTTAAAGCAGTCGGTTATCCAGCCACAGAGATGATGGATTTTCCTCACCACTGAGAAAGAATAATGTGGCCCGGACTGATGAATGATCTGACGATTTCTGCATTAAGGATTTGTCTCACTGAGACAGATACCCACCTTTTCACTCATTGATTCTTCAAACTTGTGATTAAAGAGGCACTTGTAGACTCTGCCTTCCCCAGCCTGAGTCTGTGGAACAGAACAGAAACATTTGCCATTAAAGATAAGCCTTGTAATGCTTAACGAGCAGGCTAAACTACACCTCAAGAGATTTATTTTTTCCAACTAGAAATATATTAAGCTTAATACTTCAAATGACAGTGATAGCTTCTAAACTACGAAAATTTTCAAATTCTTGCTCGTGTCCCTCACCCTTTTAGCGAGAAGCTGCTCAGCTGATATAAGCTAATTTGGACTGAAAAGGCAGTTTTGCAGCTCGCTGCTGCAGGGACGAGGAGCGCTGCGAGGAGTCAGACCAGGCCACCCTTGCACACCAGTTCCCCGCTGCAAATGGGAGCAGCCTCTTACCTCTGCTGCCTCCTCCCCATTCGAGCTGCTCCACTCTCCCCCTCCCACCAGCTCTGACACCCATTAAACCATTTGTGCCAATTCAGCTCATTGACCCACTGGAAATAACACTTGTTTGGTGGCTGAGTGAATTTAATACCAGATTTATTGCAAACTGACAGCTGCAAGGTGTCTGTTTTCCCTATTACATGATCTTGCTCGGGCTCCGCTCTACCTTTCCATTCCTTTCCTCCAAGGTGGTTTTCGTTTTCCCTATTACATGATCTTGCTCGGGCTCTGCTCTACCTTTCCATTCCCTTCCTCCAAGGTGGTTTTGGGGTTGTTTTGGGTTTTTTTTTAATGGATTACTGTAGAAGAGAAGTCAAGAGGAATTTACTCACATTTTCACAGAATCGCTCTCTATCGTCTCGGCACGCGAAGTAGAGGTGCCGGTCCAAGTGGAAGTCATCTGAGGAGAGCTCAGCTACGCGGAGAATGGCTTTCTTACACTGATCTGAAACCTGAACCCGAGGATTGGTCTCCTCTGCCTCTTTTACCAGGCCTTTTTCCAGGCAAGCCACCACCTCTCCTTGCGAGTGGGCATCCTACAGGAGAAGAGCAAGACGAAAAGCTGTAACCAACCACTTAAATTATAAAGTCATCTGTGGTTCTGCATTAAGCACCACATAAATTAAGCCAACAAACAAACTCTCTACGCAGAGACTTCCAAAAGTTCAGCCTAAACTGTGTTTACACTCAGAGGAGTTAACAGTAAATATCTGTACTGTCCACACACTTTATCCATCACCATCCTGCTGATGGTCACCGTGAAATCTCCTCCCCTCCAATGCTCTGGGTTTGTTTTAATGTCACTTAATGAGATTATCACTGCTTAGTCACACTGCTCAGAGCAGTTTACCAAAACGGCCAAATTATCTTTAATCTGACATAGCTCTCTTGGCACCATGGCAACGGCAGCGCATTTAAGAACGTACTTGGGGGAGAGAAAAATCATAGTTCCTCTGTGCTGAGACGAGCCTTCAGCTGGGTGGTGATAGTCAGTGATGCTAAAAAGGCCACAAAGGAGCTTTGCCCAATGCAGGCTTCTCAATGCTAATTCCTCCATTAAGAGAATGAAAATAAAGCATTCAAGGGTAGATGAAGTCTTGGACAAAGCAGTTCTGGCCCAACGCTGTACGCCACGTCCTCAGGCTTGCAGGACAGCAACCAACTTTGGAGTCTGACCAGCAAGTGCCAATAACCGTAGAGAGCCTGTGCTTTGTGTGAATGCCCAGAAGAGGCATCAAAGCCCATCAAAGCTCCGTTTAGTTTCCTAAGTCCTTTTAACGTGTTTACAAAGGGAACTGTTCTCCCTCTATCTCTGCAGAAGGTCCAATCCCTCTAAACCAAGAAAGAGATCTCTCAAGGCTTCTGCAAGCTTCTCCAGCGAAGACCACCTTAACTTATGCTGCTCTGAGATATCACTACTCAACTTGTATCAGATTATCTGGTGCACACAAGGCATCAAGATCTGCACACATCTGAATCACTCAGCCTGGCATTTACCAGAACCATTTAGGAGCTTTCCCTTCAGCTCGCTCTGTCAAGAGGATCCATCCCTCCTTGTGGCAGCAGCATGAGTAAGAGAGCAGTCTCCAGAAAACATGACCACGACTAATCGAAGCCACGCAACTCTTCCAAACCTTTTTCTCCTGACACGTCTCCTCGGGCAGGCGGCCTGTGATTCCTGCTCTAACTCTGCTGCGCTTGGACCACAAGCGGAATTGGCCCATTACAAAGTTGTAAACATAACCCAGAGGTTTAATCAGTTTAAAAGGGCTAGAAGTAGTTCTCCCCTTGAAAAAAAAACAACAAAACCAACCACTACACACCCCAAAACTCCATATTGTGGTTTGCTCTTTTGAGTGGGAACTGGTCAACTCCACACCCTGGCAAGATATCAGGGTCTTCGAAGAAGTGTAATTATATATCAACGGTCCCTTTAGGGCTGAACCCAAAGGGATGTGAGGAATATTAGCTAATGCTACCCTTGCCACATTACTGAAAATTGTCATTTATCCCTAACCACGCCAAACACAAACACTGTTCTGCAAACCCTCGTGGTCAGTCCCAGGCAGTAATTACAGCCGAGGAGCTGGCAAGAGGAAGTGACTGAAAACAACCATTTTAAGCAGTTTTTTTTTGCTCCAGCCTAGGGGAGGTTGCAGCTGGGAGGCTGCAGCGTCCCCTCAGAAACCAGCAAGGAGGGCACAGGAGAAGCTCTTCCTGCCAGGAAAATCAGAAGTTTCCTGGTTTCTTGCAGAGTGGGTCTAGATTCCTGGTCGGAGTCATGCTATAGCAAAGTAATCCTATTTTTAAGAGCATAGCACAAGCTGATTTCTCTATGCCAGCAAAGTAATCCTATTTTTAAGAGCATAGCGCAAGCGGATTTCTGGATGCTGGATGTTTACTGCTGCAGGGACACAACACAAAATGACTAATTTACCGTGTTATTTCGCAAATACAATTTTTACATTTGGGTAGGTCATCCTGCAGCACTGGCTGCGCTGCTGCCCTGCATTAGAGCAATTGTGGAACACGTCAGACTTTACAGGAATAGAAACACACACAAGGCAACACAGCTGGCTCCCGAGAGGTGCGGTGCTGCTCTGCCCTCCCACCTCCCCAGCTTTTACACACCTTCTTGTGATGCCCTTGGTGCTCCCGTGCCCGCCTGACACCACCTGGGAGATTTACTGACCTCAGCTGGTGCTCCTTTTCAGGCAGATCAGGTCTCTCAGTGCTAGTACTGACTAGCTAAGCCAGCTCAATGACATCCTAACTCTCCATTTCTTCAGAAGTACACGAAGGCAGCCACGCCACTGGCCAAAGAGAGTATAGATGGGACTTTATAGATGTGGTTTAGCGAAATATCACTTCAAGCTTCAATTACAGGCTAACACCTACTGTATTTAGGATTGTACATTTTACTTCAGACTGGAGGGGAAAACAAGTGTGAGCACAGCCGCACTTAACCGCCTTTTTCTAAACCAGCCAGCAATCAGAAGTTTGACAGGCTTGTTCTAAGGCTGGCAGGACACTCGTGCGTGTTAGGGCTACAAAGATGATGAGGGACTGGAGAATCTCTCTGCTGAGGAAAGGCTGAGAGCCCTGGGGCTGTTCAGCTGGAGAAGAGCAGACTGAGAGGGGACCTCATCGGAGCTGAGCAATAGCTAAAGAGTGGGGGGCAAGAGGATGGGGCCAGACTCTTCTCAGTGGTGCCCAGTGCCAGGACAAAGGCCAATGGGCACAAACTGGAACATGGGAAATTCCATCTCAACGTGGGGAAAAAGTTCTTTGCTGTGAGGGTGGCAGAGCCCTGGAACAGGCTGCCCAGAGAGGTGGTGGGACCTCCTTCTCTGGAGATATTCAAAACCCACCTAGACTGTCCAACCTGCTCTGGGTGACCCTGCTGTGGCAGGGGGTTGGACCTGATGATCTCCAGAGGTCCCTTCCAACCCGTACAGTTCCGTGATGCTGTGACTGTGGTACCTGCATCGCTTTGTGGCTCTATGTCACACAGAGCTCCCTGTTCCCACCTGCGCTCCATGTCCCACCAGTCCTGGGGGGCCACCTCAGCTGAGGGCTGGCATCCCACAGCATGAGCTCTCCTAGTCCTGCTCCAGCACTGGTGCTTACAAGGATACTAACACCTGCTGTGGAATAAATCCCAACAAAGCTTTTCCTCTATTACTATCCTCTCTTCCACCCTGTTGTTGGAAAACTTCCACCTTGGAGCTAAAGAACTTTAAGTTCCCTGATAAGTCAGGACTCCCCAAAATTGTTGCAGGGGCTTGACAGAGTCTAGATCTCATTTCTTCAGTGCAACACACTGAAACACGAGAGCTTAAACCCAAAAACCACACGCGTTTCTTGGAATTGCCACCTCCACTATCAAGAGGAGAATTCTAACCGCAAGTTGCAAAGATCTGTTAAACACACTAGAGATAATTATCTAGTCTGGAGTGCCTTGAAACTCTGCAGAGTTTTATGAAAGGATACATTTACATCCACAAAGGATACAAGCAGCTTTCCAACACCGTCCCTATGGCACTTTGAGCCACACAGAAAAGGAATTAAGTTTTAAATGTGCCCAAGCAAACAGAGAAGCTGGAAAAGTGAACAGATGAGAGTCAAGAGCAGAAAGGAGCAGGAAGGTGAAACATAACTTGTTTTACCAGCACACCACGTTGTGCTGAACGGCCAGAGCCACGAGGCTACAGAAAACCACCCAGCAGATTATTCCAAGTTCCAGTTTGGCATCCCACCTGGCTAACTGGACACCAGGGTTACTGGGACAGCTTTTAGATTAGCTAATTCCCAGTACTCTCAGCTGACACTACACTAAGTAAACCAAGACTGAGCTGAACGTTACCATCCCTGCCCATTTAGGAGTCCAGTACTTCTGTGGAACTAGGGAAAGAGTGACAGCAACTGTACTCCAAGCACTTAACGGGTGAAAAAAGGCAAGAAAACAACAGTCTCTTAATGTGTCTTTTTATAGGCATCTGAAAAATGCTATTATGTGCTAAAGTACTACACCAGATGTGCAATTGGCACTTATGTACCCTCCATTATGGCAAATAATCACCTCCAGTTCAGCCCATCATGGCTAAATCCAGCACCTGAGCAGCTACATGTTCACTGCCCACCGGTTTGAAACAACCCTGGCCATTACCAGGGTCAGGAAAGCAGCTCATTCTGAGAGACTCTGAGAAGAAAAGCTCCATTGCAATTACCAATTTCAAATTAGATTCCCATTGCATGAAAACAAAGCAAGCTTTAAATACCAAGAGTCCACACTCGCTATAAAGCGCAACAGCCAACTGGAAAAGTGACCAAAACTACCGTTAAATATTTCTCCATTAAAAAACCACCACCACCCCAGAACACAGGCACTATTACACAACTTAATGCTCTCAGATGACACATCCACAGCCTTTCTGCTTTATACAGCAACACAGTCAGGTTGAGACCTCCACACGGAACGTTATTGCTCTTACAGAGCAGAAAGCCAACGAGAAATGTGGAAAAGAAAGCACAGAAAACATCAGATCAGAGGCAACAAACCCAGCAGGAACAGAATTCAATTAGGAAGTAGAAAGCAAGCTGAAACAAAACAAAAAAAGGAAGTGTAGAAAAGGAAAACTGCTAGCAGAGGGGATCCAAGAAGCAATGTAGTTCCGGCACCTACTGAAGTGCCTTTTACAGTTAAAAAAGCCAATTTATCCCAGCTCCTATGATGAAATTATCACACTGCAATCTACCAGCTGCCTGATGTGGATGGAGTTAGCGGTCTAGCAGGGCTGATTTCCATATAAAAAGAGAGATGAATCTCTTCCCCCATCTTCCTCCTCAGGTGTCCAGGTCCTATTTATTAAATTCACAGCTACGTTCAGTCACACAAAAGGGTCACGGCTGTTTCTCTACAGGCAACTCTCAGAAGCTACAGCGTGGAAATAAAGCCTGAACCAGCAGCTGATGAGAGTAAATTAGATGAGATTTCACCAAAGCAGAAAAGGGCTAGAACAGAACACCAACAAAAGAAATGCTTGCATAGCCATTTATAGCTGTTTCCATAGCAGTACAAAATCCTTCAATTGCTCTAAGTGCCAAGGATGACAGCGTGACAAAAGAAACCATATGACAGGCTGCGCTGCTTTCACCAACCAAGGCAAAATATTCTGGGTTGGGTACCCAGGAAGTGAGGAATATGCATAAAGCTTGCTAACCCCCACAAAAGGTCGGGCAGGGGCTCCCTTTGCTGTCCCATGGAAACTTAGTGACCCAAACTTCGTGTTCTCTGCCTCTCCCAGGCACCTTGTGACCTTAGTGTCCCCCCCGGTCATCCTCATCTTTCACTCAGCAGGGTGGGCAACGCACAGTCACAGACACAAGTCTCATGAAATCCAGGCTACTGTAAGCCCTTTGGTGCTACCAGAAGTATTTTAATGTATCTTAATTTCATCAGGCCACAGGTAGACCTGAGAGCCAGGACTCCGGTTATTACATTTCTGGTTCTATACTGATTCTTAAAGGTGATTTCTCATTTCTTTACATCCTTCAAGCCAGGATCAGAAGAAAGCCATTACTTTATGGAGAAAGCAAGGTACTCAGGTGCCACCAGCATGAATCAATGGTGCTGGCAAGTTCCTCCCACTTCCATGGTTGCTTTTGCTCCTCAAATCCAGTCCTTACTTTCCTGCTTTCTGTTGCTCAGCAAAACCTTCTGGAATACACCAGCACTTCAATTTAACACACCAGGAATGGGTAGCTGCTTACAGCAGCAAACATCTCAAACAACTTTTCTTTTTAAACCAAAAAAAAAGCACATACTTTCTGTTAAATCTTTTTACCTCCTCATTAACAGCCGATTTAAGAGATTAATTTTTAAAAACGCAAGGGCTAGGATTTAAAAAGCACTGCAAAAAAAGATGCTATGATCATTTTAACTTTATCCCTAAACATAACAAATTGGTGTAAAAGCAGGGTCCCGCAGCACTACGTAACCGCTGCCTGCATTAGCTATGCTGAAGTAGAGAGGAAAAGACAGTGCTTTGAAAACAGCCCCACATCTAACCACTGCAAACTTCTTTGCACCAAGCTCATATGGCAATAGAAAAGCAATTTATTTAGTAAAACGAGTATTAGCCTGTACTACTAAAACATGACACTAAGTACCACGTGTGCCCTTCAGGCATTTTCAGGTGGGCAGGGGAAAGGGGAAGCCAAGAGATAAAAGCTCTGGATGCAGTCTATCTGCTCCAGGCTGAGGAAGCAAAAAGGGTTATCACACCTTGATAACCTCCCTGTGTCAGAGCAGGGCGTGAAACAAGCCTGGCATAGGGCTGCTGAAATCTATTGTTTGGATTCACTGTGTCGAGTCAAGCCTGATGAGAGCGTGATCAAAAAACACAAGTACCTACCTAGCTTCCTACCAAAGGGAAGACAAATGAAAGTCTGCTGTGTGAATGCAGCCCCTCACAGAGGAATAAATACATATTTATTACAAAGGAACTATACCGAATCAGGACATCATCCTTTTCAGCCAGATTAGACATGCCCTGTGTTTTCTCCGTGGTCAGTAAGGCAATGGCACTGTTGCAGGGCCTCTACTGAAGCCTCCTTAAGTGAATGACTTTTAGAAGCCTATCGACAAGCTACGTGCTCTCTGGGTACCTTTTCTCCAGGTCGAATGCTGCCACACTTCAGGAGATTGATGTCGGCCTTGCAGTCATCCATGAAGCCACAGATCAACCGGTAATCGCTGAAGATAATGGCTGTCATTTTAGTGATGTACTGGTGGCACTGGTATTCCGTGATGTTGCCTCTGTGATCCACCAAACATGACACCAAGAAGCCTTTACCAACTGGTTCATCTGCACACTCTTTGATCTGTTTTTAAAAAAAAAAATAATAAAGAAGAAAGTACAGTGGCTGCAACTACTGAATTTAACCTCTTTTTTTTCCACTTTAAAAAAAAAGTATACTCAAAACTTGCATCCGTAGCTTCAAAAATGTGCTGGCAAAGAAACCCTCTAGGCTCTAGTCTGATTTTCAGTGAGTCAGAATACTTGAGAGTATTTCAGAAATGAGAAATACCTCATGTGTGCCAGTATCTGAAGAAAGCAAACGCAGCGACCTTGAGGATTATAAACCCTCTTGCCCAATAATCATCTTTCATCATAATAACACTGAACTCCCACAATCAAGTGGATTTGTAGGAAAAATGCTAGTTTGACAAACCTTTATTTAGAAAGCCGAGCGTATTACAGCATCACTAAATCAGACGCAGACCCCCATTAGCCACCTGACCTCATACAATATAACATTTTGGTTAGAAGCGGGACTGATTCAGAAGGCAACACAATATTTATTGAACTGTTTATAACCTGCTGGAAGCTAAAATTACTATAAAGGAAAATCCTCATCAAATTCGTTTTTATCAGGCTCTCATAAGAACTGATTGTTGGTACTAAACCATTTTACCCAGTGGTCTAAAAAAATAAAAATAAAAATCACAGCTAACAGAAGATGAAAGCTGTGCAGGGATGGGAAAAGCAGTGTACACCAGCAGGCAGGTCCCCAGAGTAAATCACAGCCCGCGCTGCTCGGGGAAGAGGACAGGGAGGCCACAAACATCACCTTTGGAAGTTAAAGACCCAGTCAGTTTTGACAGTGGAAGTGGAAAACCTGGTTTCTTACCAGTTCAGGATGCTCCCCCAGGAATACTGTGAGAGGAGCAGAGCGATGCCGTGCTCCAAGGGGTACCAAGATTAGACAGGCTCTTTTTTTAGCCCTGGGAAGCCCCAGCACGCTCAGCAGTGACAGTTTTTCAAGCAATAGATACGTGGGCTTGAGGGGATTACATCAAAGATTTGTTCCTGGACACATCCTGGGCTCATCAATCTCAATCAATCCTGGCTCATCAATTGCCAGGAGATCCCTGGCAATCAATAATCCAGGAGGGTTCAGATACCAAGCATGGGAACAGGCTGGGAACTGTCTTACCAGTTCTCAAATAAGTTAGAATCTTTATACCGGAAATTTTAAAATATGGACAGAGATCTCCAGAAAGATATATCCCAATTCAAATAAGAATTAACTCGGGGCGTGCTGCGACAGGCTCTCACAGGTCAGATTACATGAGTACAACAGACCTTTCTCTGCCTTGGCTTTTCAGGCCTTTACTTTCTGTATAACAAATAAACCACGCAACATTTTAAACACCATTATTTGAAGGCAGATGGTAGGCAGGTAGAACATTTTGTATTTAATCTATACACCTATTAGAGAAACACAGTTACTAAGGTCAATGTAATCATTACAGATGAGGCAATACAATAGCTTTTGAAGTGAAAACACGTGAAAGGGAGAGTTGAGCAAGCTGCCTCGTGGGTTTGGCCCCGCTTCAGCCCACGTGTCGCCAGCCAAACCAGCACACAACGGCCACACACTGGGTTTGGGAGAGCCCAGCTCTGGGAACAGCCCCAGAGCCAGTGAACTGTGTAAAAGACCGAACGAGCACGTTATCGTCTGGCCATTTCTGAAGCAAACACCACTGTCTGGTAGCCAGGGATAATTCCACATTAAAACTATTGCCAGAACTTAGAAAAGATCACAACAGCTGAGAAAAATGTTGAAATTTAAATCTGTGTTTAGCTGGTAAAATTAAAGGTGCACTTTTCACAACATACCCAGCTGGGGCAGTCACCAATTCCCACATGACTTACTAGAAGTTACTCTTCTAAGTTGTATTTTGTTCTTGATAGAAAGCAATACAAAATCAGAGTTCATTCAACCCAGCAAGAAAACACCTACCTGTTAATGGCAACTAAAGAAAAATATTAATAATCTAATACTACACATTAGCAGTATATGCCCACTAAAAATCTTAGCTTTAGAGTGTTGTAGAAATACCTTTAAAAATTAGCAGAATGGTTATGCACCTGCCTCAATATTAAATATCAGAAGATCAAAAACATGGGATTATTGTTCCTTATCCAACTTTTTTTTTCTTTAAGTTAAAACCACTCATCAAATGGCAAAAAAACCCCATCAGCAATTCGTGTCATCCTTCACCACAATTATAAGAGGTGGTAGTTATATACAGCTAAAATTCTATATTCTCTTCCCACTGCTTTCAGACATCATATCCCAGATTTAGAGGGCATGGTTTACAACCATGCCAGACTGGCACTGTGTAACAGTGGTAATTAAAGAGACTGTTAAAAGAGCATTTTCAAGAATGCCTTAGTTGTAAAAATTCTGCAGCAGCCATATGACATAAAAAAGAAAAACATAATCTTTCCCTATGACTGCAAAGAAGTAGAATTCAACAGATTTGGCAGTGTTTCCTTCTCGGAGCTACCAAACTCCAAAGCCAACGTAACCTTTTGAAGCAAGCTGTTCTCCTTCCACTGCTGCATCATCTAGTCTTCTTGAATTAAGTGTTTTCTTCATCTCTCCTTATATTAAGTGATGGTTTCCCACAAATGCTATTCCTACTAGGCCATGAAGAAAAAGTAATCCATTACCTTTCAACTACACAATTCATTCCCAAATTTTTGGAGCCAGGCTGCTGTTGACACCCTCAGCTTCTCAGATCTTCGTGTGTGACTCTCAAATGAAAATTTTGTAAAGAATGGGGAACCACGTAGGCAGTTCCATCAACATGTGAGGACTTGGGGGAACTACCTCTCCTGTTGAACCTGCTCTGAGCACCTACATATTCCTTGCATCTAATAAGCAAGGCTGCACCACTGAAAGCTACACCTATGGAAAATAAGCTGCCAACATGAGCTGGGCTGGAGAGACAATCTGCTAGTCGTGCAGCTGATCGTCTTTCAGGAAAACCTACTTCAAAAGCCACAAAGGGGCCATCATCTAGAGCAAACCTTTTTCTAAAAAAAAAAAAAAAAAAACAACACACAAAAAACCCCAAACCCACCAAGTTTACGGGTAAGCAAAGTTATTCTGGTGATATACAACTGATGCTTTTCAGAGCATGTTTTAATGACTGAATTAAGGCAGAAGAAGATCCTGACAGAGAGTCCTCGGAGTAATTAAACTTTGAGCCTTGAAATAAGCTAAGAAAAAAAGCTGATTAATCATTTGGTGTCTATGTGCTTATCCTCCCTGCTTGCAAGACACAATCCAAAACCAGCCTCATGGTGAATTGAGTGGAAGCCCTGCTATACCCACCCAAACTGCTACAATTGTCCAACCCTTGATAAAGGGGGGACAAAGCCAATCCACAAGAGATTTCTGACAAAAGGTCAGGAAAAAGCTGATGTGTTGTTGGTTTATCACTTCTTTCCCCCACCCCCTTACCTGGCACCACCAAGGTACCTGCCTTTTTCCACAAGGAGATTGAATTAATGACGCCCAGTAATGAGGCGTGCAAGACTAGAGCTTCTCCAAACCCAAAAGATGATTTGCACGCTGATTCACTATCACAAAGAACTGAAAACCCCTTAGTGCCACGGCAGCAGCTGTGCCTGTCTCCTGACTTACCTCTGCAATGGTGGACTTGCAGACTTCTCTGGCCACGGATTCAAACTTCGGGTCCGTAGTCAGGTTCAGCTTGTAGTTCCACAGGAGCTATGGAAAGAGCATTTGTAGAAAGGGGGTTTAAGAGCTCCCCGTGGAGAACAACAAATATTTTGCCTCAGAAAAGAAAGAAACACCACTTATTCCCACTCTGTATCATCATCCTTCTGCAGTGCAACAATCAAGGCAAAGTCTCCTTGACAACAACTTTGTCCCTTCATTTCTGCAATGCTTTTCTCACAAATTCAGACTGCTAAAAATCTCTCCATAAGGTCACGAGCTGACTCATTAAAAGGAAATATGAAATTGTCTTCATTAGATATAACCAAAAGGAGAAAACAATGAAAGCTTTAACTTGCTACCCACTGTGTAATTAGCAATGTTTTTAGCCCACCACACCTTTCTGCACCACAGCTCGTCCACCTGATGCAAATACTAACAAAAAAAAAGTAATAATGAAGTCCTTAATATGAGCAGATTTCATTCTGAAAAGCAAACAAAAACCTAGCAGAAAAGGAAGGAGGGCAATGCAGCCGGTCCCTTATTTGCTTCCTTCCAGTCACACTCTGCAGATATATACACATCTCAGATGTCCTCCTCCATTAAAGTAAAAATAAAGGATAAAATTAAGAGCTGAGATGTTGCCCCAGAAAAGCTCCATTAGCTCATCTGTTCTTCTCTAGGATGTTTAGTTGCATTTAAACATTTTTCATTAACGTAAAGATTAAACAGTTTTACAGATTAATTTCAAATACTCTGCCTTTGTGACAAAATCAAATTAATATAAAAAAAGACCGACAGTTTGGTCGAACTTTATTTTGACGCTTCAATTGTACACAAAACACTAAGAAAACACAAAATCATGCACCAGGAAAGCAGTTCTACATCATCTCCACCTCAAATCATGGAGTTGTGAAAAGCTAAAAGAAGGAGACGATGGGACCCTAGTGCATTTCAGAGGGAGTAAGATGTTGAAAATATAAAGGTTGAACAGAAAAAAGTGAGTAACTGGGGAACCTGTCCTTACATGGGGCTGTAGACCTCTCCCAGCCAGGATAGGATGGACAAGAATGAGGTCCAGGACCATAGGAATACACCTCTGCACATGTAAATCTCAAAATTTGAGTCCCACAATGAGATGTTCTTCAAAGGAATCTTCCCATGGACAGAAGGAAGGTTAAACTTGCAGCTTAAAACCCCCAATTTTAACACTAGGGAATATTTTCCCAGGAGATGATGAGCAGTTCTATTACCAAAGACCGCAGACAAAGATGACATTTGGACATGAGTCACCTCTCTGCGGTCCAGCTTTTCATCACTCCCCTTTAATTTCTGCCCAGCAAGATGAGACTTTGCCCACACTTCCTAGTCCTGAAGGGCTTCTAGAATCACATCTGCCTTCTGGCAGAAATGCTGTCATTTAATCCAGCAGAGGAAAGGGCCAACTTCAGTTTCTAGAAGTCTCAATTTCTTCTTCATTCAGGTAATTTCTGTTGGCTTATTCAAATGTCAGGTAGCTACGTTTTAATTACTGAAGTTTTTCTTCTTTTTCAAAAAAGAAAAGAAAAAAGACAAGACTTAAACAGAAACATGATGTGCCCTTCATCTGATCCAGCCTTGCACAACAGAGAATTACAGCTGCCACGCAGCCAGGCAGCGCAGTGCTAAAGGTTAATTTATAAACACGGTTGGAAATTACTAGTTGTACAGCACGGCTGGGTTTCATTTCTGGAATGGATCTTCCAATAATAAACCAAAATACAGCTTCTCAAGCATCTGAAACCAAGACTGTCATTGAGGCAGGCACTTGTCTGTGTCCAGGGCTGACCAAACAATTAAGGCTCTTGATATGATGTATTCTAACAGAATGCAAATGAGAGAAGCCAAAGGAAACGTAATACCAACCTTAGCTCTGATGATTTTATATATATATTTTATTTTTTTTTTTTTAGAGTCTCAGGATTTGAAGAGTCAGCTCAACAGCCTGAAAACTGGCTAACAGTTTGCTCACTGTTAAACACAGCGCTGCGAGGAAATCTGTTCTAAAACCAGCCAAGTGGTTCAAACTGCCTCTAAATATCACACCCCCCACAGCATTTTCCAAGCGAGCCTAAGAATTTAGCAGCTGTGAAAGCACTACAGAAGGCTCCAACAGCTGAAATTAAGAGTTTAAATTCAGTGCTGCTCACATCATTCCCAAAAGGAGCACATCATGTTACTCCCAGTAACTCACGGGAACCACCCCCCAGCTATAAAATAGGAAAGATGTCTGTGATCCTCCCCTGACACAGAGGTACAGTTTGTAAAGCTCTCAGACGTGCTCTGCTCTGAAGTCTTCAGTAAGACCATAATACTGGGTTAAAGAAGTTCACTTGTGTCCTTCCTCCACGCTAGAGACGGAATAAAATAAAGCAACACTTACGTGATTGCAGTCTGAGGAGATTTCATTATCTGGCTGAAAAGAGAAAAAAAAAAAAAGAAGTGTCAGTTGACTACCGACGTGATGCATTTCACATACAGAAGAGTCAAAACTTTAAGAAAATGTCAACTCATTTTCATCCTAAGACACAGTTTGACAAAAGCAATAGGAAATTTTAAAACCCGCGTAGTACAAGTGATGATATCCAAGTACCAAGAAGAAGGAAATAGCAGGTACTTTAGACACAACGCTGTCTTAGCTCAGCACAAAAGCAGCAGCATTAATGTAGACGCCGTAAAAAACATAACTGATGTGTTTGTGTTTGGCCCAACTGCCCAAACTAAGGCAGCAAAAAAGCTTCTGTGGGAAAACAAAGACGCAGCAGTAAAAGTTTGACAGAAAAGTAACTTTCATGCATTCAACTGAAACAGCAAGGTAGGACTCGCTTCCCTCCCCAGATCAAAGTGTCTGTATTCCCTGTTTGAGAAGCAACATCTTTTCGTCCAGCTGTCCATGAAGGGGCTGGCCCAAAGCTGGCCCGAGACTTACACCTTCAATCACCAGAAACTGGTAACATCCAATATTTGTACATCATATCACAGAATGACATGGGGTTGGAAGGGACCTCTGGAGATCATCCAGTCCAACCCCCTGCCAGAGCAGGGCCACCCAGAGCAGGTCCCACAGGAACGTGTCCAGGTGGGGTTTGAATGTCTCCAGAGAAGGAGATTCCACCACCTCCCTGGGCAGCCTCTGCCAGGGCTCTGCCCCCCTCACAGCAAAGAAGTTCCTCCTCAGGTTTAGGTGGAACTTCTTACATTCAAGTTTGTGCCCATTTCCTCTTGTCCTGTCCCTGGGCACCACTGAAAAAAGACTGGCCCCATCCTCTGGGGACCTTCCCTTTAAGTATTTATAAGCATTGATCAGATCCCCCCTCAGCCTTCTCTTCTCCAGACTCAAAAGCCCCAAGTCCCTCAGCCTCTCCTCGGAAGGGAGATGCTCCAGGCCCCAATCACTATATTCTTTATTTTATAGTAAGGAAGATACTGCTATGTCCTTATGACAACGCAGCCGCCGAGTGCCCACATGCAGCCTCCACCCGAGCACGTGTTTTGGGGAGAAACACCCACATTCCCCAGGGAGCTGCTCCGGAGACAACTCCAGCTGCAAACCATCCCATCCCTCCTTCCAGCACAAACAGCTCTCACAACAGAGAGCTCCTGGAAAACAAGTTAATTGCACAAATCCGTATCCCATCCTCACAGCAAAACAGGACAAAAATCACCCACCCATCGTACCCATAGGAAAAAAAAAATTAAAAAAAAAAAAATCAACCCTGACTCACAAAGTCTCTGCTTCCACTGATATTGAAGATGCCAGAAATACTCAAAGAGCCACAGATACTCAAAACCACTCAAAGCTTCAACACACCATCGACACCAACACGTTAGACCTCAAATATTTGACATAAGTAGCTTTTCATCAGTTCTGGAGGGAAAAAAGAGAGCTTCTCAGTGCAGGCGTTTTGCTGCCGCACGAGGCGTTACGCCAACGCTTGCGCCATTGCGACTTCGGAGAGCAGGGACACAGGTTTATGGGGGGAAAAAAAAAAAGAGCATGGGAAATGTTTCCAAGTCCTTAATTACAGCCATTATTAACTAAAGCACTTTTATTTTGTATAGCAGGAAGTGGCAGAAATGACCTCTCCCAGACTGAACATAAAAACCAAGATGGTACCTGAAGGATCACAGTAATTAATTGCTTTGATCAGACTGCCAGCATGTAAACCCAGATCTCCCAAAGTCATCATACATTTGAAAATTAGGATATCGACTATTTATTTTTTTAAAAAAAGGCCAGCAGATGCCCACTTGTTACCCTCAGACTGCAGAACTGATTCTCACAACTGAAAACCAAGATGACATCCAAATTACACTATGTTAAAGCAGCCTCTAAGAGTGACACTACCATCACTTAAAAAGCAGGTTTTGGTTAGCTTTCTGCACCCATCCTGATCAGTCACCACCAGATGGAGGTTTTAAACTGAGTTAATTTCAAAAGCTGAGAGTGAGAACTCCCTCCACTGAAGTTGCTGTCTCAGTCTTTGAGTCACAGATAGCTTCTTTATCAAAATACAGGTTAACCCTGTAATTAATTCCCCTTCAGAGGACAGGACTTACAAACCCACCTGCAAGTAGAATTATTTCCAAGGGCCAGAAAGCACTCTCCCAAAATCCTTCTCTTGGTTGCTTCGCTAACCTTTGCTTCAGATCCACCAAAGATTAAAGCTCCATTTTTCTGGAAAGATGAGCCCAAGGAGATAACAGACCGGTTCTCACCGACTTGGGAAGCTCAAACAAGCTTTTCTGGAAACACACAACACTCAGATACTGCCCCTTGAAATACCTGCCTTCCCATGACTCTGCAGCAGCCTCAGCGCTGAGAAATCAAGCCTTGTTTTTCTGAGTAATGGAAGTTAAATGGGACGTTAACTAAGCTTAGTACTGTATACATTCACAGTTCAATGCCTAGATATGCAAAATAATACAATCTAGCTGATAATCCTTTACATGTGGAACAAGATGACCACCTGCTAAGCTACAAGCTGTGATTCTTCTTCCCTCTTAAGTGTAAGAGAGGTGGCTTCAGTGGCAACGCTGACCTGACTGTCCCCATTTAAGTGAAGCAAAAGGAGAAAAAGAATCCTTTTTATCTTGTGTCTGAAGGGTTGCGTTTGAGGAAGGGGAAGAAAAATCCCCCCAGCACAACCCACACAGGTTCTGCCTTCCTAGGGCAACAGCCCGCAGCCCCCCATCCGCTACATCCACCCAAGAAACCTTCCAAACCAGAGCAGTTTCAGAACAATAGCCTTGTGTAGTAAGAGTTGGGGGAAAAAAGGTAAGTTTCAAATTACCACTAAGAGAAGCCAAGAAGCAAGAAAAGCCGCATTGGGTCATTCCCACGTGGTGAGTGTGAGGAGCAGGGATGCTCAGAGACTCCTGGGGCAGGGAGGAGGAGGAGAAGAGCAGCCCAACCCAGCACCGTTCCACCCATTAGTGAAGGAGGAGGACTCCTCTTACATCTCCTAATTGAAGGATTAAAAACCAGACTTTACCCAAAGTACGTGTGCCTCCGGGCTCACAGAAGCTTTCTGCTTTTTAGCAGCTTTGGTGGGAATATATTGCCTCCCTTTGCAATTCTCTAAAAAGCTCTCCAAACTCCTTCACGCACTAACACTCACATTGCAGAGCCTGAGCACCACTTCCTACCTCCCAGGAAAAGCGGAGTTTAGCACAAGCACCAGCTATGAGAAAACCTGAACAGAAAAAGCACTTCCTTCCATTCAGCCACACACAACAGGCACAAATCCTACCACATTACTATTGTGAGCTCTGCAGAGGAAATTCAAAGGTTTGTGTGAAGTCGTGTCACCACCAGGCTATGCAATCGTCAACACCGTCGGGTTTAAAAGTGCCTTTTCTCACCCACCAGATCTCAACCCACTGAAAAAGGCCATCCCTTTCTAAATCCCTCTGCTTCAGCAGCCGTACAAAACTAGGGCAAAACTACACAGCAATGAACAACCTGCCACCACCACCCAGGCCCAAGGAGGCACAAGGCATTGGTGGTGTAGCTTCAGAAATGGACCACCATCACGCTGGTCCCCAGCCATGCTAGTCGTAACCATATCATGAACCAGTGTCCTGCATCACCATCCAGCAAAGAGGACACTGCTGGGGGTGCAATTACTGCCACCCCCACAGCCTGAAGTCTGAGCCCCTTTCAGCTGTGTGTATACAAAACAGACTTGGTGTTATTTTAGCACATACAAAAAAAAAAAAAAAGAAATTCACACATCGTTGGATTTTGAAAAGCAAGGTAAGAATCCTCATCAACCACCGTGGATGAAACTCAAGGTCTTGGGAGAACTCTCTGCAGAGATTATTTTAATCACCAGCAGCTGCTTGACCTTCCTTTCCTTTGCTCCCTTGCAAATGTCATACAAATAGAAGAGTCTGAAGTCAACCACACAAATGCCTTTATTCCCAGATTTTAATCCCTCCTTAGAGCAGAGCAGGGGATCCACTGCAGACACTTCCACTATTCTTTTAAGGCAAGAGTAGCTGCACACTCGTTGAAAAGTAAGGACCAGGCATCTCTCAAATACTAACTACAGATAATCAGGCATTAAGACAACAGACTTTGGACACACTCAAGCAAAAACCACCAAGAACCAGCATGGAGCAAACCAGCAAAATAAAAAGGCAACTGGCTGGTGGATGGGAGGAACCCAGTAGATGTTATCTCCCTACAAAGAGGAACAGATTGCAAAGAGATGTAACAGATAGAAAGATAATTAGGAAAGGACGTTAAAGTGGATACCTTCCCATGAAAGAGAGGGTAGGCAGAATTTCCCCAGATTATTTGCACTGTCATACACACAATATATTACAGTCCTGGGTTCCCTGCCACAGCAGTGAAGTTTTTCACTCTGACCTAAACCCATTTATCACTCATACCTGTAGAGAAACAGTAGAGCAGGCCAGCTGACCCAGGAGCTTCTAACAAGGCCATCAAGCTGATAAAAGACAAACTGACTCTTAGCTGTGTCTTCCACAGATAAAGGCAATCCCTTCACACCGAACACACCCAGCTGGGACAGCAAACTCAAAATAAAGTGTGTGAATCCACAGGTACCCAGCTAGAACCACACCACCAGAAAACAGCAGGGGCTAGATGCAAGATCAAGGAGAGATCTGGAGGAGCCACCCTCCTGCAAGCCCGATCCCATCCGGAGGCAACCACCAGAAATGGTGCCACAGAAGAATCCGTGGAAACAAGAACAGGTACAGTAGCCTAGGCAAGAAGCAACACAGCTTTTGTAAAAGGAGAAAAAACCCCCGTGACACAGCCAGCCATGCTTCAAACCTACTGAAACATCACCGAGTTCTGTGCCAACAAGCATATGGCTTCAGTAAACCGTCTTCACACATCCTGCTATCCTGAAGGAGTCATGTGTGATAAAAAAAAGTTAA